GCCGGTGAACGACGGAGGCTGTATCCCCCTAGGTATCAGTGTCTCGGGCGCTCTGGGGGAGGGGGGGGGAAGGGGGGAGGTCGGGCAGGTGGTGATAGGGGTGGAGATGAGAATCTGGGCAATAGAGAAGGGGTATAATCACGAAGGTTCTGGAGTGGGGCGCTGTGCAGTCTGGAAACCTCACTGGGGTGGCGGTGGGGGGAGGCCAAAACCATAAGGTGAAAGCATTCCTGGGGACTTGGAACCCGCAGTTCCCGCCCTCAAGGCCAGCTCTGGCCCTGCGAGTTCTGGCTGCACCTACTCTGCTCAAATTCCTAATTGAGAGACCAGGAACTATCCTTTCCGCTCTCCTCCATCTCCCTTTCCTGCTGTTCTCTCCGGTTTCCTGAATTCCCCTCCTTAGTCTTTCCCCTCCCCCATCCCTAATGCTGCTTCCATGGGAGAAAAGAACGGAGCAGATACGGGAGAACTGAGCCTCCAGCCAGAGGAAGCTAGAACTCTTGGGAAAGAATAGATCCTGAAAGTCCCTAATGAGATTACCAAGGTTTAGCCCTGCTCTAGCCTCCCCTCCTCCCAAGGAGCAAAGCCAGGCATGCTCCCTGCTGAGTGCACCGGGTCCAGGCCCCCTGTGCCCTCCCTCCATGGTTACTGGGTACCCCCTCCCTAGTGCTGAGTACCCAGACCTCCGAAAGCACAACAACTGCATGGCCAGTCACCTGACCCCAGCAGTCTATGCCCGGCTCTGCGACAAGACCACACCCACTGGCTGGACGCTAGATCAGTGTATCCAGACTGGCGTGGACAACCCTGGCCACCCCTTCATCAAGACTGTGGGCATGGTAGCTGGTGATGAGGAGACCTATGAGGTAGGGGGCCCCAGAGTTTCCTGGTCAAACCCTGTTCATCTTCCCGGCAATCCCAGTTCCTTCCCCCTGAAGCCCCTCACTTTCCCTTAAGACTGGACCATCCATACTCGTGTTTTCCGACCTGGTGAAATCAACCCGCGAGGAAAGCTTGGGAAGGGATTCCCTCTCCTTAACCACCTTCTCCCTCTCAACTCCCCCTCAGGTATTTGCTGAGCTGTTTGACCCTGTGATCCAAGAGCGACACAATGGGTATGACCCCCGAACGATGAAACATACCACTGACCTGGATGCCAGCAAGGTGGGTCAAATATCCCACTTCTGATTTGCATTGCCTTTTGGACAACATACTGTTTTCTCCAGTCCCTTCAGCCATAATTATTCCCTGACTCATAGTCATTATACTGCTGAGCTTTCAAGTCTCAGTGTGGGGAAAGAGTTGTATGTTAAGGAGCAGCTGTGAGAGGAGCAGGCGTTGAAAATGGCCACACCGCAAGGTGGGCAGTGTTGGGGAGGGTTCACAGTGAATGCCCCTTCAGTTGGAGTGTTTGCCCAATGGGCTGTCCTTCCAGTGCAGGCAATGAAGACTCCTCTAGTCCTTACGGTCTCTCCTTCCCAAGGCCCTCAGCTCCCATCCACCTTGTTTCTGTGACTTACCTTAGTTTCTACTATTCCCCAGATCCGTTCTGGCTACTTTGATGAGAGGTATGTATTGTCCTCGAGAGTCAGAACTGGTCGAAGTATCCGGGGACTCAGCCTGCCTCCAGCCTGTACTCGGGCAGAGCGACGAGAGGTGGAACGTGTCGTCGTGGATGCGCTGAGTGGCCTGAAGGGTGACCTGGCTGGACGCTACTATCGGCTCAGTGAGATGACAGAGGCCGAGCAGCAGCAGCTAATTGATGTGAGAGGCTTTGAGAGGGAGCTGGGCGGGACGGGCAGATGGAAAGACAAGAGAGTCAAGGGAGGCTGGGGCCAGATGAGGTAGATGGGCTCTGAGAAGCCCGGAGGCTACTGTGTAGATTCTTAACCCAAGTCCCTTTGACTCTTCTCAGGACCACTTCCTGTTTGATAAGCCTGTATCCCCATTATTAACCGCAGCAGGAATGGCTCGAGACTGGCCAGATGCGCGTGGAATCTGGTATGAGGCTTAGCTTACCCTAGGCTTCCATAAGTGCCCCTTTTTTCTCTATCTCTCCCTTGCCCTGCCTCTTAATTCCAGTCCCTCCCTCTCTCCTGCCTTCAGGCACAACAATGAAAAGAGCTTCTTGATCTGGGTGAATGAGGAGGATCATACACGGGTCATCTCCATGGAGAAGGGAGGCAACATGAAGAAAGTGTTTGAAAGATTCTGCCGAGGCCTCAAAGAGGTTGGAGAAGAATGTATAAGGGAATTAGGTGGGAGGACTTAAGGAAAAAACAAAGACTAGAATAGGTAGATGGAGGATATAATTTATGAACTAACCCAGGACATTTTTCGTGAAAGAGATTACCACCAATCACTCTAGGAGAACAATAGGTATAAATCAGAACTGTCCAGGGTATACGGTCCTGGTATACATGGACCAGGTATACATAAACCTGGGTATATGGTCATCCTAAGAATAGGAAGAGAGAAAGAATGTCAGGAATCTAAGGAAGTAAATAAAGCAGTTGCCAAATAATGCAAAGAAGGAATTGAGGTGGTGAATCAGTGCCTGGGGGGTGTGTTGTGGGATGTGCAGATATAAGGGGAAGGTTTAAGCTTGGATGACTATAGGGAGTGAGGGGTTGGTATGTTCCTGATTCTCATGTAACCACCCATTTCTGAGCCAAGGTAGTCCTTTACTCTAGATTCTGTCATTCTCACTAAAGTAGCATGTCTAGATTTTAAGCTGATTAGGAGGGAAAACAGGGAAGGTGGAGGATGGAATGGTTTAAGTTCAGACTGTGTGGCTCTACATGAGGGGTTGAACTGAATCCTCAGTCCTATAGGAATTAGGTCTCCATATTCGTGTCTAGATTAGAAATTCCCATAAATCCAATCCTTATTGTATGGTCTCATATATACAGTTCTGTTTTGGACTTGTAAAGGGAGAGAACTCTCCTTCTTTTAGAATCTTAGCTGGGAGGTTCCTATTATTTTTAGCAAGTAATAGGTAACATATCTTGACTTTAAGTGGGTAGGCAGGTACTTTTGATATGTCTTAGTATTCTCATCTGTAAAATTGGGTAAGAAGACTTCCTACATTTAAGTGGTGGGGATTAAGTGAGATAACGCATATAAAGGGTGTGGCCCATAGTAAATGTTTATAAGTGTTAGCTGCAGTTATTATTCTAGATGGAAAGATTTCCTCTTGTTCAGCATGTTTAATATCCCTCATGCCACGGTTCTTTCTGAACTATGAACAGGGTTCCCCTTAGGTTACATAGCGGTCTTCACGAATATTGCCCTGGCAGGTCTCCAGTCTCTTCAACTCTAGTAGTCATCTTCATGATTGGGATGTTTAAGTGGAACAAGAACACGCTTCCCACCCTCCTCCCGCACCCTCCACAAGTATGAGTCCAGCTCTTCTGCTCCATTTTCACCTTTCTGCTTTCTCTTTTTCCACAGCTAACAGGCTCTCTTGCCTCTTCCTGTTGCAAAGCCTACACCCTCATTTTCTGGCTGAAAGAATCCTTCCAAGCTCTAGCTCATTAGCAAAGTAAAGATGTCAATGCATGCAGAACTCCCTGAATAATCAATCCTTTCTCAGTTCAGTTTACCACCTCCGTTCATCTCCCTAGATCATCCTTAGCACATCATTCCCTGAAGTTTCTCTTCTTCCACACAGGATATTTTTGCACAATCTCATCATGATGGGCGTGCAACATCAAAAATATCTTTTATGCATGATAATAATGAGCCATTTCCACCAAAAAAAAAAAAAAGCAGTGTCATTCTTTCACATCCCAAATCTTTGGTTCTAGACATATTTCTAGAGCTCCTATGGGTCCAGCTAAGGGAGGGTTTGCACAGCCCTGACATGTCACTAACGTAGGCTTTGTGCATGCAGGTGGAGCGGCTGATCCAGGAGCGTGGCTGGGAGTTCATGTGGAACGAGCGTCTGGGATACATCTTGACCTGTCCGTCTAACCTGGGCACCGGACTTCGGGCAGGAGTACACATCAAGCTGCCCCTGCTGAGCAAAGTAAAGGAGTTGTGGGGCTAGAGAGGGGTGTGAGGGAGGAAGTGGCCATGTGCGGTGGGAGAGGGATTGTGCGCTTTGGAAAGGAGCAGGCATTGTAGCTCAAGAGTCAAGGGAAAGAGCTCTGGGCAGGTTCAGGGCTCTTTCGGGTAGGACCAGTCTCAGCCTCTACTGATCCTGCCCGCAAATCTCTATCTCCTCTCTAGGATAGCCGCTTCCCAAAGATCCTCGAGAATCTAAGACTCCAAAAGCGTGGAACTGGAGGAGTAGACACAGCTGCCACCGGCAGTGTCTTTGATATCTCTAATTTGGACCGACTGGGCAAGTCAGAGGTGAGATTCTCAGGGATTATGGATAGGTCTGTGGGGGGTGATTTGACAAGGAGTGAGCCTCAAGAATGTAACAGAATTTGAAATAAAACTCAGGTTGACTGGGGGAAAACTGGCAATGAGTTCCCAGAGCAGGCAAATCAGTGCTAAAAAGAGTCAGGTTGTGGGAAGCAGAGATCAAGAGTCAGTATCATCCAGGTGGAGCTGGTGCAGCTGGTCATCGATGGAGTAAACTACCTGATTGACTGTGAACGGCGTCTGGAGAGAGGCCAGGATATCCGCATCCCTCCACCTCTCCCCAACAAGCATTAACTCCCGTCCCCAGTGGATGACTCAAGGCTCCCAGGACCTCTGCCATTCTAATGGCAGCCCATTCTCCTTGCCCTGGGTGCCACCATCAACCCCCAACCCCTGTCCTAGTAAAGGCTCCATGCTATGCTTCAGTTGTCTGTGTTATTTCTAATGGTGGGATGAGGAGGAACTAGCTTCCAGGAGAAAATAAAAAGGCAATGGGATTATTTATGATGAAAAGAGACTCCAGATATGGCATGCCAGGAACACTGATTCTCAGGTGGGTGGAAAGCATTAACATTCTACCCATATTCCATCAGCTTCCTAGGATAATTAAATTGCACTTCCATTTGCACTTTATTCGTTTTACTTCAAATGTCTTTCCCAACAAATCTCTTTAACTGCAGAGACAGGCTCATAGCAGATTGCCAAGGAAGCAGGTGGTCAATGCCAGGGCCCAGGAGGGTTGTGACCAGTCCTGGAGATGCCAGGCTGTGCTTCGACCTGTAATGAGACAGAAAATGGAAGGAATGTCACAACTCTGCTCCCCAGGAGCCACTGATACTTGGAGACTATTCGCCTGTAGACCCCTTCACTCTCAGATCTCCCTGAGGGGTTCTGTGAGTCCTAACCCTGAGTTAGGGTTCTGGTTCCGGGTCAGGAGTTGGGGAGTCAGTCTGTGCAGTTAGGAACTTACCTTCCTGCTCCAGGCTCTCCATCCCCTCATACTGTGCCCATGCAACTGCTCGTCGCTGCTCAGGACTCAGAAAGGCCATTTGCTCGGGAGTGACAGCCACGGCCTGAACACTGGTGAGACTAGATAGCTGGGTGGGGCTGAACACCACCTGGGGATGGGAGCGGGCATCAGGACATCCACTGTGGCCCTCTTCTGTGGTCACCTCAGACCCCATCCCATCAGTGCTTACAGCAAATTTAGGAGCAGGGATGACAGAAATGGCCAGAGGGGTAAGGCCCTGGATCTGTCCTCGCAGCAGTGCAGAGAGAGCCAGGTCTGGGATTCCAGCTGTCAAGGCAAGTGGGATGGGCCTCCAGACGTTATCCTATACCGGCCTTCTCTAACTACTCCCAAAATACTCTTCCTCAGACCTTCCCCAGCACGTCTCTAACCTCTCAACCTAGGTGTCTTAGGCTCCCACCTTAAGATTCCAGAGCAATCCTCCACCCAGTCTGTCCATGATGTGGAACCAGCCCCAGCAGTGGCCCAGTCTCCCTATACCTGCTATTGTGCCAATTTCAGTGAAGATCTCGGGCCCCCAGTTACTGACTGGGCCAAAGCCACCAGGCAGCACCAGGAGCTGGGCCAGAACCTCCAGTTGCTCTTCAGAACATGGGAGATGCAGGTTGCCCAGGAAGAGAGCTGCTTGGCTGTGGAAGCGTGGGAAGAGAAGGGAAGAGGATTCAGCCATGGTGACAGGGTCCATGGTCATGAGTTGGTGGTAGTGATGACTTTAAGGGAGATCACTTCCTCCACGGAACCACTCCCGCATGATCCTTCCCCAGTAAGCCCATCTTCCCCACAGGACCACTGCCCACACCCTCCTCTATGCGTGACCTAAACTCCCAGCTGTTGATGTGCTGTAGCTCCTCAGGCCGAAGTCCACAGAGTGCGTAGCCCAGTGCAGTCAGGTGGAGGAAATCCAGGCGGCTCACGTGTCGACCACTCTGCCGCAGGAAGCTGGAGACCACCACCCGGAGCTGGGGTTGGGGTAGAGGTCACAGGATAAGGAGAAAAGTCATGAGGAATTCACGGATGGGGAACTATCTGCTTAGGGAAGGGACAAGTGCTGCTGGATTTTTTATTGGTAAGACCTGAAGAGCCAATGCTGTGCTGCACTTAGTCGCTCAGTCGTGTCCGACTCTTTGGGACCCCACGGACTGTAGCCCTCCAGGCTTCTCTGTCCATGGGGATTCTCCAGGCAAGTACACTGGAGTAGGTTGCCTTGCCCTCCTCCAGGGGATCTTCCCAACCTAGGGATTGAACCCAGGTCTCCTGCACTGCAGGCAGATTCTTCATCTAAGCCACCAGGGTAGCCTGGAAAGCCAACAGCCATGGGGAAGGTTGAGGATCCAGGAAAAGAGGAGGCCAAGGGAAAGGGGGCAGGAGGAAGTATTGTGTGTCCAGGGCCTCAGTAAGTAAATCACTGCTCTAACTTCCTACTGGTATGGAGTATTATGAAACGATAAAAAGCATGGCTGGGTATGGTCACAAGACAGAAATTCCTTGGGCTTTAGACAGCCTGGAGGCATTCGGAAGGTGGTAGAGAGGAGGAAGATGTTACCTGGCTGGAGCTCCAGCCATCTATCTGCCCCAGGGTGCTCAGCACGCCCCAGTCCACCAGGCTCAGCTCCTGGAGTTCCCGCTCTCCTAGACCTATTAAAAGCCGACCCAGCTGCAGGATCTGCTCAGGACGAAATCCCCGGGGGGGACCCCACAACTGGAGAAAGAGAGGAATGGTGTGAATGGGAAAAGCACGGAATTAGGAGTCAGAATGCTGAGGGTCAGTCTTGCCTTCAACCTGAACTGTGTAACTCGAAGCAAATCCCTTGCCTTCTCTGGGTCTTTAGTTTCTTCAACTGTCAAATGAGAGGATTGGATGAAGGTTCCTCTGACTAAGGTGTTATTGAAAGACTCTAGAGTCTCAGTAGGAAAGAAAAGCAGATTCTAGTCCATGAGTTCCCATGTGCACCAGACACGGGTGGGGGTAGCAGGGGCGAGATACAGATGCCCAGACCTGATCCTCAGAGAATCTTTCTTCAGTAAGTCTACAATGGGATTGTCAAGCATTTCAAACAGCTGCTCCCCAGATGGTTCTTTTTTTAATAATTTTTTCCCCAGATGATTTTGATACCTGCTAATGTTGGTAATGACTTCTAGTCCCTCTACCCATTTCACTAGCTTCCTGTCCTCAGTATCCATCCCCTCTGACTTCCTACTCAGGATCCAAGCCCTCTAATTCTTTTATGTCCTATGTCCCCCATCTCTCACGCAGCTATCCGTTTCCATGTGTCCCATACCACACCCAACCAGCTTCATATCTTCAACCTCCAACCCTAACTGGACTCTCCATCACTAACCTGTTTTGCCTTGCCCATTGCTGCCCGGAGTTCCTTAGGCCCAAGTCCTGGGTCTCCTGCAAATAGTGTGAGGCAGTCCTCAAAGTCCAAGAGCTCCATCTCTGCGATCTGGGTTGCAGACCAGGCTGATGGGAATGTCCCTCGTACATCTGCACAGTTTGGCACAGGTTCTAACGGAGGAAGGCAGGGTCAAGGGGTCCGTGTAGTACTAAAGCATGCCCAGAGTGGTCAGGTCCAGGGGCATGAAGGGTGGGGGCCATGGTGGGTGGGGGCCTCCTCTCGGGAAAAAAAAAAAAAATGCCCAGAGAGATATCTATAGATGGAACAACCCCTCCAACCTTTAAAGGACAGGCCAATAGGGGCAGTATGGCTCAAGGGATTACTGTAGTGTGAGATTTATAGGACTCACAGATATTAGAAAGGGTGACTGGGGAGGACGAGTCCCTCATTGTATAGATGGAAGACTGAAGGGCTTGACTGAGTGGCTGATCTAGGTTGAAACCCAGGTTCCTAGCCCCCCAGTGTCACCTTCCTCCATCCTAAGCACCTTCCCAGAAGAAAGCACCACACTTATCCAACCCTAGAGACGAGCTAGCTGTTAACAGGCTGAGAGGGCCGGGAAAGGGGACTCCAGCGCTAATAATGTAAAGAGTGATAAATTCACAGAGCTATAGAACCCCACAACTGGGAGAATCCTTGAAGATCATCCCTCACTGCTCTGGGCTTTATAGATTAGAAAACCCCAGCCTGGAGTGACGTTGTACCAATCTGTTCAAAGGGCGCAAGTCTGATTGCGTGGTTGGCTACTTCTTCCTGTACCCCTTGCTGGATGTATGGGCATCCGGACAGTCTCACCCGGGAGGTTCTCCGCAGCAGGCCGCACAAGCCCAGCTACCAGCGCTGCTTTCTTGGGAGCGAGCTGTGGCCCCGCACACAGCTGTCCAGCTCTGCTCTGCTCCCAGCTCTGCTGCTTCTCGAGGACTCGCTCCAGGGTCTCCGGGCCCAAGGCCTCCTGGGAGAGAAGGTGGAGGGAGGTTGGGCAGAACCAGGCCCGTCAGGAGCGGCTGCTACAGTTGTAATTCCGAAGTCCTCTTTTCAGCAGCCTCCCCCCCGATTCAGGCTTCACATCCTTCGCCCTCAGCTTCCTTGGCCTTAGCCTCCCCCCGACTGGGCCTAGCTCCCCAGTCCCCTCTCTGCTCTCACTCCCTCCCAGGTTCCTTCACCTCACCCTGGGGATCAAGGAAATAGCCTCGGGAGACAGAGTGAATACTAGGCGTCCTGCTTGCTCGACTTCATCCTGGCTCCATAACTCTGGTTTCCTGAGGGACAGAAAGAAGATCAGGATGCTGAAGGGACTGTTAAGAGAAGGAAGAGGAAAGACATGCTGAGACTGGGCACCCAGGGCTCCAAGGGCCTCTATGCTGAATGGGCTGCCGCTGAGGAGGCTGGTTGAGAGGGTGGGTGTAGGATGAGTTAGAATCTGGACTTTCCGGAGGCCCATACCCAAGAACAGGCTCCTGCAGCAGCAGCCATCCCAGCTCTGTGGCAAACGGTCCTCCGAGGCAGAAGCCTTGCAGCTGACTGAGGTGGGCCAGCAGGATCTGCAGGGGGATCCGCCGTGTGCTCTCTATGCCCAGGAATCCAACCAGGGGCCCCAAGGTCTCCAGCACTTCCCTTGACACTGTTGTCTCCTTTGGGGCCTAGAGGGGGATCAGGCCTTGGGACAACACACCTCTGACTCAGAGGACCAGTCTCTTTGATCAAGACACAAAGATCTCTGACCTTGCCTCCCTCTAGCTCTCGACCCAAGATCCTATGAAGCTTATTGCCACTGTCCACATTTCTAAACTATGAGCCCAAACAGGAGCAGGTGGAAAGACTGGGAGGTGGAATCTAAGGAATTTCTAGTACTCCAAGGGATATGGACAAGAATCATGAAGCAGACTATCAAGGAATGGAACCCAAAGGTAGATCTAGGGCCCTGTAGACAAAAACCTGCCTGGCAGCAAATGTTTAAGTCTGGGCCTAGAAGACAGAGCAATGGCCCCAGGCCACAGTTCTGAGTCTGGTGGCTTAGGGTTAGGGTTAGGGTTAGGGTTAGGGGTTAGGGTTAGGGCTAGGGTTAGGGTTTAGGGTTAGGGTTATGGTTAGGTGGGGAGATTCTCACCAGGTTTTTGAGTGCCCGTTCTGCCAGGGCTGCCCGGTGGAGTGGGGTCAGGACCAGCAGCTGCTCTGGAGCACCTCGTATCAGTTCCACCACTAACATGATGGATTCATTGGACAATCTATCCATCAGCTGGACTCTGTAGCAATTTGAAAACAGGGGGAGTGGGAATTGAGCCAAGTTGAGAAGGGAACCACAGAATGCCCCATTCCCCAGACAAGAGGTAACACCAGAACATGCCCTGTGGCCCTGGATAGGAACTGATACTTAACATACCCAGATCCAATTTCCACCACAGCGCTTACAGGGAGAGAACAACGGGAGAGACCTATTTCCAGTCTTCTTGAGAAGAAATGACGAACAATCCTACCTCATCTAATAGAATCAAAAAGCCCAGATATTAAGTATCATTAAATCCCCTCCCCCATTTTATAGATTTAAAAATAGGTTCATATGGACTTTCCTGGTGGTCCAGTGGTTAAGAATCCACCTTGTAAAAAAAAAATATTTAAAAAAAAATGAATCCACCTTGTGATGCAGGGGACACGAGTGTAATCTCTGATCGAGGAACTAAGATAATGCCTCAGAGCAACTGCTGAGCTTGTGTGTTCTGGAAACTGAGGATGACAACTAGAGAGTCTGTGCACAAGAAAGATTCCATGTAAAGTAATTAGCCTCCAACTAATAAAAATAAATGGAAAAAAAAAAAGAAAAATGGAGAGAAAATGATATGGTAAGGAAAAAAGCAGCATATATATAGTCATTTACAAAGTTGAAATTATACTTAAGAATTTTTATGTATCTTGGACACGACTGAGTGACTAACACACATGTAACTTATATATTAAAAAAGAAGTAAATTCACCTGAAACTAATACAACATTGTAAATCAATTATACCTCAATTTAAAAAATAAAGTAAAATAGAAGCTAAGAAAAAAATAAAAAAAGAAAGATTCCACTTGACCCCGTGAAGATCTCGAGTGCTGCAACTACGTCCCGATGCAGCCAAATTAATTAATTTAAAAAGAAGAATCCACCTTCCAATGCAGGGGGCATGGGTTCAATCCCTGGTCAAGGAACTAAGATCCCACAGGCCAGGAGCTGAAATGAGGACCCAGCACAATGAAAAAAAATTTTTATTTAACTTAATTTAAAATAAATAAATAAAATAAAAAATTAAAACATGTTCATAGAGACCAAATGGTGGGGTCTTACTCTCAGTTCCTATTTTCTACAGGACTACCCTTCCTCTATCTATTGTGAGAAGGCCCCTTCTGATTTGTACAGTACTATACAATTGACCCTGGAGGAGGGCATGGCAACCCATTTCAGCATTCTTGCCTGGAGAATTACATGGATAGAGGAATCTGGCAGGCTACAGTTCACAGGGCTGCAAAGAGTTAGACATGACTGAAGCGACTTAGCCCTCATGCACCAAAGTTCTTTTAGGTGTTATCTCATTTGATTTTCATGGCAAAACCTGGGGGTAAGAGGTATTTTGGAGAAGGAAATGGCAACCCACTCCAGTACTCTTGCCTGGAGAATCCCATGGACAAAGGAACCTGGCAGGCTATACAGTCCATGGGGTCACAAGAGTCAGACATGACTTAGTGACCAAACCACCACCACCACCAAGAGGTATTTCCTCATCTCTTTCACAAATGGATTTGAATGGCATTTTTAAAAAGCCATTTTTTTTTTGCATAAAATTCAGAGTGATACTCTATACTCTACCTAAGGTTGCCAAGTCTGGAACTGGGTCAAGTAGTACAAAAGCCCAAATCTGTGGAAAGACCTTTAACAATGTAAGGATAGAGTCAGCTCCTTCCCAGAAAGACTGACTCCAACCTTTTCCTGCTCTGACTTACAGTTCAGTTGGCAATGGGTGGGGATGGGGATGATGTGGGTAGGGAAAAAAAAACCTGTGAGTGAGATACTCATAAACTCTGAGTCTCTAGTTTAGGAGGAGCCTTGGGTTCATCAGTCGTCTCTCTCCTCACCCATACTTCAATCTGCTCTGTAACATTCCTGCTGCGGGGCCATCAAGACTAGGCTTGACTAGCTCAACGGCCAGAACTCACCACCACAGTCTTCCTCATATTGTGCAAAGCTCTGATTTTCATTCACTGGTGTTAGTCCTGCCCAGTGGGGCCATTCAGAAATATGCCGATCTATTTTCTATTTGATGGCTCCTGGGGTATTTGAACACATTTTATCACATGTTTCATACATTTTCTCTTTACCTACTCCGCTGAACATACTGAAAACACAGTGCCCTAAGGAGATGACAGTCCTGTGGGGGTAGGATTGAAGCGTTACTTCCCTCATTTTATATATTTAATTTTAATTACTTTTTTTGGCTCCCCCACACAGCTTGTGGGATCTCATATCCCCAACCAAGGACTGAACCCAGGCCACGGCAATAAAAGCCCAGAATCCTAACCACTAAGCCACCAGGGAACTCTCACTTCCCTCATTTTACATATTCTACCACTATTAATAGGGCCTAGGTTATATTAAGACTGCTTGGCAGTCACATCACAACATTGCCACCTTCAGCTGCCCCATTTTGGGGGTCTCACTGGGGAAGCCAGTCAACACCTAGAGCAACTTTGAATAGCATCCTTCACCTTAGGCTGTAACTGACGTCAGGGAACAACCAGAGAGAAAAGCACCACCTCTGGGGTGCTTCCTAAGGGCAGACTCTTCCACCCCAGGCTGAGCCTTCTGAGAATCCAGTATCTCCAGTCGCAGCCTTACGGTAAGTCCAGGAGGAGCTTGGTGTCCAGCCCACTCAGCTCTGGCCCCAGGGTTGCCTGTTCTGGCTCTGGCATTGCCATCCTCCGCTGTAGTTCTGCCCAGATACAGGTCCTCTGTGGGGCAGAGTAGGGAGGGAAGGTTCAGGACAGAGCTGAACACCGAGCCTCGGTTCTCTACCCGGGGTTCCTGCCTCCCTGCTCCCCCTAATGCCCAAGCACCCCTCTCACCAGGCTCCCTCGGACCCCAGTGGGCAGTTGATAGATCATGTGTACCACTTCAAGGAAGTCTGCCATCGAGCTGATCTGCTGCAGAAACTCACAGGACATGCCCCCTGCCAGCGTACCCAGAGCCCTGTAGGTGTGTGAGTAGGCACATGCTCATTCAACACATGCTACAGCCTGTCTGCTCCTTATATCAACATTCTCCACACAAGGACAGATATTCATTTATGGTAATTTGCAGTTTGAGAAATATTTTTTTCCACAGATAATTCTCACTGGTCTCCCACATCATTACTGTTTATTAGAGAAGAAAATAAAGATTTACAGAGGTCGAGTGACAGTCCAATATCATCCTACTAGAAATGTGGTCAACTGAGGCTAGAACCACAACTTCAGAAGCCCATGGGTCTTTTGCTGGGGGTGCAGGTAAGGTGTTCCTTGATCCTGTTAATTCCTGCTTGGTCAGTGGCTCTGAGGGGTTAATCAGCAAATATCTATCAGAAGCTTATACTGGGCCAGGCACTGTGTTAAGTACTTTATATGCCTTGTCTTGTTTAATCTCTACAACTACCTATGAGGTCGGTACCATTTCAATATTTATTCTAAAGAAGGGAAAAATGAGGCTTAGAGAGTTTGAACGTCTTGCCCAAGGTCACGAAGTGGTGACAGGGCTAGGACCTGAATCTGGGTCTTCTGAAAATCCCTGAGATCCACTCAGGATGGATTCTGTGCTCTAGAAGGGAAGGAGAGAGTCAGGAGAAGAGGAACCAGAAGAAGACCAACAGGCTGACCTACAGGTCACTGATCCTCATACACCTCCCATCCCCACCCCCGGATATCACATAGTGCCTGGCACACGGTAAGTGTTGCAAAAACAAAGTTAGTTGAATTAAACTCACAGCTCAATACAAGTTACTCACTGCAGATTCCTGAGAGTCAGGTTAGTGGGCACTTGCATCTTCTTCCAGAGAAACTGTGCCTACAAGAGAAAGAAAGAGGAGCCGCTTCCCAGCAGAGATGTTGCCCAGGAACCTTGGGATGCCTTGGACCCAGAGCTGCCACTCCACCCTGTGGGTCCCACCAGCCTCCTACTCTCCCCAATGCCCACTCCCTGGGAAAGAGAGACAAATGGGGGGGCCGGGAAGGGGAGGAGAGAAAAGCATCCTAAGGGCTGCTGGGAGTAAGGTGCCCAATCTAGGGCTGAGAGATGGGTGAAGGAGGTGGAAAATGTTGAGAGAAGGGAGTTCTAGGCTAGTGGGAAGAATCACCTGCTGCTCAGACCAGGGCAGCTCCCGATAGCGCCTTCGGTCTGCCAGCATAGCAGCAGAGTCCAGCTGCAGCAGCTTTAGCGGGAGCAGGGGCAGCAGGCAGTCTGGCCAGATGGTGGGGATGGGCTGTCGGAGGGGCAAAGCGTGGCAGTGCAGTGATAGGTGAGAGCGTCTGGACTCAGGCCTCAGGGAAGAATGGGAACTACGGTGGCAGGCTGTTATTGCTACTGCTAAGTCGCTTCAGTCGTGTCCGACCGTGTGCGACCCCATAGATGACAGTCCACCAGGCTCCCCTGTCCCTGGGATTCTCCAGGCAAGAATACTGGAATGGGTTGCCGCTTCCTTCTCCAAAAGACTTACTACTAAGTACCAAATATGAAAACATATTGGGTCCTCTGAATGTTATTAGTGTTCCTAAACAAATATGAGGGTTTAAAAAATAAAATCCAAGCATCTTTAACTCTGTATGAACCAAAACATTATGGACTCCTAAACTACAAGGAACATTTTGCTGGGCTATTACGTTTAACCAAAACAACACATGGTTTTATAAAAAAAGTAAGCTGGGAGTTAATAGGTCCCGAAACTAGGAGAAGGGTGGAGTGGCAGGTGCCACGCTAGCAGGGCACACTCTAGAACCCTCGAAGTTGTGGTCAAGGGTCCCTGCCGTCGAGGCACCTGATGGACTAGACTCCCTTAGTCACTCTGAGCCTCGGTCTCTTTGTCTGAAAGCAGGGTGACTGACCTGGAGGATTCCTCAGGCTCTCGGGGCTTTGATGTTCTAGGACATTATGCCATCCTGCATTGGGACTGGGAGAGCTGCTAAGGTCTTAGAGGGCACAGAGCTAATGAGACACTTGGGCCACTTGCAGGGGGAGAATGTGAGGCAGTCCCAGCTGTGTGAGACAGCCCTGGGATGGGGAGAGGAGCTTAGCTGGCAGAAACCACACACACACAGACACACACACGCACGCATGTACCTGTCCGGGGATGCACACAGCTGCACCGGCTCCTGCTGCGCCAGTATTTTTAACACCATCTTTCACCTGCATGAGAATTGGCTGTGTGTGTGTGTGTGTGTGTGTGTGTAAAAAGTGGGGAGGTTTGGGGGTCCTTCCCTGGCCACGGGGAAGATGACCCCTCCCAACCAGAGCCCTCCTCCCTGGTCCCCGGCTGCCTGCTGCTCTCGTACCCGGAAGGTCTGCAGCAGTGCCGCGGTCTGGCAGGCTGAGAGGCGAGCCAGTTCAGGGGCCAGGCAGGGACAGGCCCTCAGCAGGACTCGCCTTGGGATGGCCTGGAGCGTCTGGGAGCTGAGGCCTGGAAGCAGAGGGTGCAAGGAGCAGAGTTCCTCCAAGGACAGCTGGGGAGCGAGAGAGACAAGAGGCCTGAAGAAGATGGGCCAGGTTGCAGGGAAGGGGACAATCACAGTAGAGAGGCAGCAGGGGTGAGGGCCGCTGAGAGGGAGCCCGGGAGGACGGGGACGGAAATGTTGCTGCCACTCACATCACGCCTCGGGAGGAGCCGTCCAAGCAGCAGGACAGCCTAAGGCGGGAGGGGACAGGAAACAACCACGCTGAGGGCCTGGCAGCCAGGTCCCCTAACAGGTCCCTAGGGCCCGACCTCCCAAACTCCCAGCTCCCTCTCCACCACTCCCATGACCAGCCTGGCTCTGGGCTCTTCTTCATCTGAGCAAGAGGGATGAGGGCGTTCTTGGGACAGAGGAAAAGGAGGCTTGGGGGGGGGTGGGGTGGGGGGTCAGGCAACAGCATCCTTGAATGTAATTGCCTTGACTGAGGTGCCGGGGGATGGAAGACAGAAGCCAGGGAGTGGGCCAGGCCCACCTGGGCAGGGGTGACCCTGGTTCCTCGCAGGGCGGGAAGCATGGCCCTCAGCTGCGGCTCTGACAGCTCCTGCAGGAAGCGGAGGCCCAGTTGAGGGAAGAGAGGAGCCCAGACCCGGAGCTCCCGGGGGCTCAGCACCGCTCCTCCGGATGAGCGCAGCACCCCCAGAAGTTCATAGGCTACCTGTAACCAAAGAAGGTTTGGGTCCGGAGAGAAAAGACAGGTGAACCTAAAGTCTCCTCTTTAATCCCACACCTGGATATTCCAGGGCCTGGGCTGTGGCTTGCAACCAGGGATAGGACAGGAGCAGACTGGGCTCAAGTCATCAAAGGGAATGCTGGCGATGTCGTGGACCAGAAGGAGTAGAGTTAGGAAGAGGTGGTGACAGGTAAGCATGGCCACGGAGTGAGGAGATTTAGAACGAAGGTGGACGCGGTGGGATGAGGGCTGGCTCCAGCTGTGCTCCCGCTTGGCTGACATGACTGGGCACGTCCTCCGCACGGACCACCCCCCACAGAAAGCCTGGGGTTCTCGTGGGCCTGGGCCAAGGGGCTTACCCGTCCTTGTGGGCTGAGGGTCCCGTTGGCCGCACATTCCAGCAGTCCCCGTTCTACTGGCCCCATGGGATCATCCAGGGGTACCAGGCTCTGCAGCTCCTCGGGGGTCAGGAAGCAGGCGAGGGGCCCCAGCCTGAGGAGGGCATGAAGCTGGCCTTCATGTGGTCACTGAGGCTGCTACTAAGGCAGGGACTGTGTGGGTACAGGGAACAAGCACTCTAACCGCTAAACTAGGAAACGTGTGTGCCACAAACAGGCCTCTCTCCCAGGGCCCTGTGATGCCCCGGGGCCACTGCCTCCTCTCTTGCCCCTTCCCTCCTGGGACCCCACCCCAGCCTGGCAGCTGCACCTGCCTCTCCGCCGCTCTGGCCGTGATCACTGGCCCACAGGCACTCACCTGCGCACCTGCTCCTCTCCATCCTTGACACTCTGGTTCACCAGGCTGCGTAGCACATGTCGGGCATGTCCTGGCCCAAGACCTGCCGCTGGCCAGCTGTCCTCCAGGGCCTGGATCTGGGGTGGGGAAGATCAGCTCATGATGGGATCACTGTGGGACACTTGTGGGAAGGGGCTCACTAGGAGACAGGCCACTGACTGCCATCTCAGCTGGCCGAAAGCGGGCTAGTCAAATAAGTGAATCGTTCTCATACCTGGTGAGGACTGAGCTGCAGAAATTTCTCCAGAGGGAGATGGGGGAGCAGGGGAAGCGCTGCCCAGAGCAGTTCCTGGGGCCAGGCGGGCACTTCCCCAAACAGCTCAGGGGCCAGCAGTCGCCTTGCCAGAGCCTCCTTCTGTTCAGGTCTCATTCCAGGGCTGTAATCCCGGATGGCGGCCAGGCTGGGGAGAGAGTGGATCTCACCCCTTAGCCCTGTCCCCTGGCTCTGTGCAGCCCCGCTGTCATGGACAAGAAGGACTCCCTAGTTTTATAGAAGGGCTGTTCTGGGTGTGTGGGCTTCCTTGGTGGCTCAGCTGGTAAAGAATCTGCCTGCAATGCAGGAGACCTGGGGTCCATCCCTGGGTTGGGAAGGTCTCCTGGAGAAGGGAATGGCAACCCACTCCAGTATTCTTGCCTGGAGAATCCCCATGGATAGGGGAGCCTGGTGGGCTTAAAGTCCATGGGGTTGCAAAGAGTTGGACACGACTGAGCGACTAAGCACCGCACAGCTCTGGGTGGGTGAGGTTGACCCTGACAGGATCGGGAGGAGGAGCACAGACTCCTTACACACTGTCATTGGCCAACAGGGATGGTGGGAAGCGCATCAGGTCGGAGACGGCCAAGAAGGGGATGAGTGGTGAGAGGTCAATGAAGAGCTGGGAGGTGAGGCGCGGGTACCGCTGCAGCAGCAAGGCTGTCAGGCGACCCAGGGCCTGCTCCTCAGATGGTGGCACCTGTGGGGGCACAGGAACAGATGCCAGCTCTGGAGATGCCCACTCTCCTGGCCCCGGCCCCTCTTGTGTTCCTCCTTCTGCTGGAGCAAGCCTGCTGCCCGCCTGGTTCCAGGTGCTCTTTATGCCTAGACTTCCCCTGCCACCCTTGTCCCCCTCTCCCTCCATGCCCACCTGCAGCTGGGCCCAGGAACGGTGCATGAGCGTCAGGAAGCCCTGAGCAGCCTCTCTCTCTGCTGAAAGCACCAGCTGCTGGAGGTTTTCCGGTGGCATGTGCAGGTATGCCTGGGCACGGGAGGTCATGGTGGTTATGGCCTCACTGGGCAACGGTCACCCAGCCCGCCCACACACCCTGCCCCCATCAGTTACCTGCACTAGAATCTGCAGGGCCCACACACTCTTCTCTCTCTGCAGCAGATCCCACAGCACGGGCTGGTGGGGAGACAGACAAGATGCCAGGAGAGTTGCACCCTTTGTCCCTCCCGCAGCTTCCCCAGGTCCACTCACTAGGATGCTCGTCCTTCTTCTGAAGCTGTACATGTGTCTCCTTTTGGTCCGGGACCACATTCTCTAACTTCTTCTATAGCCTTTGCCATAGCTGGCTCAGTTAATATTTGGAGATATAAACCAAATTTGGAGGAGGGCATGGCAACCCACTCCAGTATTCTTACATGGAGAATCCTATGGACAGAGGAGCCTGGGGGGGCTACAGTCCATAGAGTTGAAAAGAGTCAAACAGGACTGAAGCAACTTAGCATGCACGCACATGAACCAAATTATTACATTTCACTGGTCCCAGGAATTGAGAAAGGTGGGCCCTACCATGGAGTAAGGACTCTTTACATTCCCCACAGCATTTAGCAAAGTGCTTTACACATAACAGGACCTCAATGAATGAACTATGGTGTTCACATATTCCAGCCCCTTCACTCTACAGAAAAGAAAACAAAGCCCAGGAAAATCAAAGTAAACTGGCTAAGACCATGCTTATGGCATAGTCAAACCTAAAACTTGTGATTTGCAGTCATCCTGAATTTTTCTCATTTCTGTCTTATCTTCCTATATTTTGCCAGTTTCCAATTCTCACTTTCTAGGGACAGAATTAGAGCCCTCTCACTTGATCCCTTTCCTTTCTGGAGCAGAAAGGAGGTGAATCAAAGAGTCAAGAATAATGAGATAATATTTATTACATGTTGTTTGTATATCACATACTAGCGCCAAACCCACAGCCAGTGTCATCTGGTGTAATCCTTAAAGCCACCCTAAAAAGAGTGGCACCATTATTCTCCACCACTTGTTTTTTCTGAGACTTTTTTGTTTGGTCATGCCACACAAATGTGGGATCTTAGTTCCCCAACAAGAGGTCGAGCCCGTGCTCTTGGAATGGAAGCGTGGAGTCTTAAACACTGGATGGCCAGTAAAGTCCCTCCACCATTCGTTTATAAATGACACTGAAAATTTGTCCAGGGTTGACCACAGAACTAAGATGTGAACCCAAGCCTGGATGACTCAGAGCTTCGGGCTTAACCACTGCCTTGCACTGCTGCCTCTCAGTGAGATCATAGAGAATTCCCGTGGAGACCCTTCCCTCCGCTCCGGGAACTTGCACCTTGGCAGATCACTCACACTGAAGCAGGCCAGCAGCTCCATCTTGCTTAAAGTGGGGCTGGGGCTGTCAGGGGTGTCAAAGCCCAGGGTTGGCTGCTCCTCCTGTTCCAGGAACTCCCCGACCGTCCGCAGCACGCTGCGCCGGCCCTCTGGGCGGAAGGCATCCCAGAAGGAGCAGTTGTCTGGGAGACTGGAGAGCATCAGGGCCTGACCCAGCATCCCCTGGGCCTCGTTCCCTCCGGCCCCTGGCCCCAGGAGGAAGGTCAGCAGGCGCAGGAGATAGTGTAGGCGTGTGGGGTGGGCAAGGGCTGGCACAGAGGACTGGCAGCGTGGCAGTTGGGACAGCATGCCAAGCAGGAAGGGGCCCGGGGCCAGGCAGAGTGGGGACGGTCCCAGCGGTGGCAGAGAGGGCAGAAGAGGGCCCAGTAACCCCTCCAGGAAGCAGGTGTCATTGCCCCCGCGACTTATCCTGCACTGGCCGGCTAGCCAAGGCCAGGAGGGCACCAGGGCCTCGTACATGGTGTCGTTGGCACAGACCATCAGCAGGAAGCTGCCCCCATCTGGGCAGCGTTCCCCACACGGTCCGATGTAGCAAGGGGGGAAGGCCGTGACATCCGGGGTGGGGCCCTGGCACACATGCTGCACCCAAGCCTGGTTGCTGGGGGGCACGGCCTGCAGACTCGCCTCCCCACAGAGCCGCTCGGCCCACAGAGTCTCGTTCTCCAAGAAGCAGCCCCAGAAGATCTCTGGGGTCAGGGGGACAGGGGGCAGGCCTTCGGGGCAGCTGGTGGGGGGTGGGAGCAGGCCGGCACAGAGCCGCTTTACCAGGCGGCGGTTGGGGCCCGAGAGGGTGGAAAAGGAGAGGTTGCCACAGATGGCGTCTAGGAACTGCTCAGGAAACTGGTCGTGGCAGGCCTGGAGCCAGCCTTGGGCACCTGGCGCCCATGAGACTGCATACCACACAGCTGTCTGGCAGACGGCAGCGGTGCTGGGAGGGGGCCGCGGGGTGACAGGCTTGGCGTGCTGGCAGAGCAAGTGGATGGAGAAGTTGGAGATGCTGTAGGGTGGTGCTGGGCCTGAGAGGTTCTCGCAGAGGGCCTCCACAGAGATGGCCCGCCGCTGGCGAGGGCTGATGTGGGCTGAGGGCTGGGAAGTCCTAGGCAGAGGCACCCCCGTGCTCAGGCAGTGGAGGAGGGCGGGGGGCGGGGGTGGTGCTCCAGACAGAAAGCCCAGTGCCCGGACATCCCAGGAGAGGTTGTGCCGGATGCCCCTGGGAGCAGAGGGAGGAGCAGGCAAGCAGCTGGTCAGTTTGAATTTCCTCCACTTGAGGCTTCTGGCCCTGGCCCAGAGCCCTGCAGGGAGGGTGACAAGCATAGGCTTTTCCAAAAGTGAGGTCCCTGGGAGCCACGGTGTTACTGGTTTAAATGGTGGGATGGGGGAGGGGAGAGAGAGCTGTCCCGCCAAGTCACAGTCAGCTGGAGCTGCCCAGCCAGAGCCCCTCCTGTCCACCTGGCCCCCTTCTTTCTCCTTTTGGCACCCGCTTTTAGGAAGCTTAAATAAAACCATTGGTTAGCCTCAGATCAGGAAATCTGCCCAGCGACTGAATATGTCCACCTGTGGTCTGGTACTGTTGTACCCAATCAGCAAGGGGTGGCGGAAGCAAACCTTGTTCTCTCTTCCCATACCCTATCTTTATTAGTTAACATTTATCAAGCACTATGTGCCAGGCACGGGCTTCCCAGGCGGCACTAATGGTAAAGAACCCGCCTATCAATGCAGGAGATGTAACAGACGTGGTTCGATCCCTGGGTCGGGAAGATCCCCTGGAGGAGGGCATGGCAACCCACTCCTGGAGAATCCCATGGACAGAGGAGCCTGGAGGGCTATGGTCCATAGGGTCACAAAGAGTCAGACGTGACTGAAGCGTCTTGGCACGCAGGCACTTCTAGGTGGTTGACACACACAGTATCAACTCATTTAATCCCTTGCGAAAACTCCAAGGCAGCTAATATTACCCACTGTTCGTGAGTGGGGAAACTGAGGCATTGAATGAGACTCTAACCTGCCCAAGGTCACATGGCTAGGAGGAGGTGAAGCTGGGTCGCCGACCACCAACAGTCACCCTCCCAAACCACTAAACCACAGCCTTCCCATCAGCTTCCTCTCCCGCCCTGGAGGCTGATGGCTTCCCAGGCCCCACCCCTCAGAACTCCTGTCTCCCTACTCACCACAAGAGCAGCTGCTGAAGGTTGCCTAGGAGGGAAAGGGAAAGGAAGAGGACCACCCTGGTCTCCCCCTTGCTGGCCCGGCCGCAGCCCAGCCCCGGACCTGGTGGCACTCACCTCCCTGGCACTGCCCGTTGGCATCGGGCTCTGGCTGCCCCAGAATGGAAAAGACCTCATCCTGCAGGGAGTCAGTGATGCGCAGCAGCCCCTCCTGGAAGGTAGCATAAAGGGGGGCCCCCACTGTGCGCAGCAGACCCCCCCAAAGAGCCTCCTCAGAGCCCAGCTCCCCCACTGGGGCAAGCAAACCCAGCAGACCCTGCAAGAGGTGGGGGGCTGGCTCCCTCCCATCGAGGCCCGTGGCGTTGGCGGGGTCCACGCTGGGCTGCACCCGCACCAGGGCCTGCCAGCGCGTGCCCTCTAACAGCAGCAGCAGAGAAGGCAACCAGTCAGCCGCCAGAACGCAGTCAGAGGGCCCGTCACGGGTGCAGGGGGGCCGGGTCGGGGTAGGGGGCCCCCCGGGAACTAAGGCTCCCAGCAGCACCTCGGCAAGTCCACTCAGCACACCTGCTTGGTGCCCCAGGAAGTCCCGGGGGGTCTGCTCCTGTCCCAGCAGGGCCAGCACGTCCCCTAGCAGCCCTAGCATTGGCTCCCAGTCTGGGCTGCCCCTCAGCGTCACTAAGAAATCATGCAGCCGGAGGGCAGGGGGCTGGAGAGGTGGGGGCTCGCCCACCGGTCCCTCCCCCATTCTCCCAGGCTCAAAGGAAGAAGAAATGTTGGCCAGGAAGGCAGAGAACTGTGAGCGGCTGAGGGACCCCTGGGGAGCCTGGTCCAGAGCAGAGAGCGCTGACTTCAGGAGGGAGAGACCTGAGTCCAGGGACTGAGATCCAGGAGGGACCAGAGTCACTGCAAGGAGAAAAACCGGAAATCACCAAGGGGGGAAAAGCCTGGGACCCAGATTCAGCGCTGGCCAGCCCAGTCCCTGCCTGGACGAGGTGCAAAAGATGGTGAGCTGAGTCCCTTTCAACAACCCACATTAAGTCTTGGCCTGATTTCTTAACCTTCATTTACTTTTTTCTCTAACCAGTTCAACTCTGCATTTTTAAGTCTCTTTCCAGCAGCCATCCCCATCATGCCCAGCCCAGCTCACTGTCCCCCTTACCTGCACAGGATAGCAGCAGCAGGGGCCGGAGGCTCAGAGCCATGTTTCCAGAAGCGTGCCAGTACTAGAGGTGAGTTCTGGTTATTCTTACCTTGTGTGGGAGAGCCAGGTGAGGACAGGGCATGACAGGCAGCCCGAGGCTCCGCTGACACCGTAGTGTGGTCTTTCAGGAAACAATATCTGTAACCTGACAGCAGGTTTGTCACCTGAGCCACTGACTACATGATCCTTTGGCTTTAGAGAAGGAGTGCCCGATCAGAGGGACCAGTGATAGGGGATCCCAGGGGACCCTGGGAGGAACCCGAGGATATAGCTTCAGTTAGGAGCCAGGATGCAGATAAGAGGAGGCAGACAGAGAGATGGAGCAGTTCTGGAGATCAGGAATGTAATCTAGAAGGGTCTGCAGAAATATATATAACATGAAATAAACAATAATATCAGAAATATAAGGGGGGAAAAAAGGGCCCAAGTAGAATTCAAGGGAATTGAGGAAGAAAGGGGGCCGGGAGAAAGGATCTGAGCAGTCAGGTGGATACAGAGAAGAGGAAGGAAGACAAAGGTCTGGTCCAAGGATGGAGCATTTGGGAAGACAGGGGCTTTTGATTCAGTACCCAGAGCCACAAAATGTTAAGAGTTGGGCAGGACTTCAGAGATCACATAGAGCAAATCTCTCATGCCACGGATAAGAAAACAGAACCAGAGAGGAGTGACTTGCTTATTCGGTCACTCCAGGGTTTGGATTTGTCCTCTGGCCTTCTTCCTGTGGCCCAAGTGAAAGCCCTTAGAAAACTCTGAGGTGAGAAAAGAAAGAAAGAAACCAGGTTAAATTACTACACAAGGGGGCTACTCCTTACACACACAGGTGTATGCACAAGAGAGAGGGAGAAAGGGACACTGCTCTTAGATCAGAGAGATCCATCTCTCTGATCTGGTCAGGGTGAGAAGGCTTGTCTGCCCGCCGTTTATATATCCCCAAGGCCTTCACTTGACACCAGCTCTAAAGAGTAATTCAACACCAAGGCTTCACTCAAACCATATTCTCTTCTTTCATTAGAACTCTTCTTTATTCTATCACCCAAATCCTTATGTTCAAATCCATTATTACTGCACCTCTGTCCTAGGAGTTTCACTTAAGATCATAGACTTTAAGAACTGGAAAAGACTTGAGAAATCCTCTGGTAAAAACTTCTCATTTTATGGATGAGGACATGGAGGCCCAAAGAAATGGAATAACTTGGCCCACGGCAATCAAAGGAGGTGAGGGCGGTGCTGGGATTTTCCAAAGTGAGTCAAAAAGTTAGAACCAGTGAAATGATCTATTGCGTCACTTTGCCAGTATTTTCTCTTTGCTCATCAGAGTTACCACATCTAGTCTGAAAAACAGAGGAGAATCAGAGGAAGAATACGCCTAGGTTCCCAACAGTTTTCTACTCCTGATTCCAACCCATCCTGCAATCCACTTAAATTTCTGCCCTTCGTTCTGTAACAACCCTCTTAAAATAAATCCTCCATTTTGCTGATAAGGTAGCAAAATATGACTTGACTGGATTCACATCCTGGCTCCCACAAATACTGGCAGTGTGTCCTGGGCAGTTTCTAAACTTCTCGGTGTCACAGTGTTCTTTTCTGCCAAAATGAGAAATGCTAGTATAGAGTTGTCACGAGTATTAAATTTGATAAGGCATTTAAAGTATTCAGCACAGTACCTGGCATTCATTAAAAAAAAAAATAATAACTACCTATCATGTGCTAGGCACTGTATAGAATAAACATTCACTAAATGTGACTATTATTAGTCTAGCTCAATATGATTCTTTTATTTGAAGCTAAAGAGTTGCAATTATACAGAAATTGTTACCAAGAGGTAGTGTCTTGGAGTGAAAGACCTTTAGAACAAGTGTGGAACTAGCTGAGTCAAGCAGAGAAGGGAACAATGAGGACTTCCTCAAACCAGAATGGGAAATTCTTGGCAGTCCACCAAATGGTGGAGCAGATTAAGCAGTCCTGTTGCTGCCAAGGATTCAGACTATGTGCCAACTGAGGGTGAAGTGCTTAGGGTTTATAGCAAATATATCAGCCTGATTCAATATAAGCAAGTTACTGCTTATAGTCTGATAAAAGTTCAACAAAAGCAAGACAAGTTCCAATCCATGGATAAGCAAATGGTAAGAGCAATCCGGAACCAACAAACTGAAGTGACAGGGGTTCAGAGCAGGAAATTAATCATGTGCTTTGCTTAAGTGAAGTGGGTTAGATTAGTGGGGTGATTACTATGCTCTGTGATCTGGCAACTGGAATGGAGATACTTGGGAGAAGCCAAGGGAGTTGAGAGATCTGAAACATCCTCAATTCCCCAAACCAACCACAGGGCGCTTTCTGATTAGAACACAGACTTCTCTTTGTAAAGCATTTGGGATCTTAGTTCCCCGACCGATCCAGGATTGAGCCTGTGCCCCCTCCAGTGGAAGCTCGGCGTCTTAGCCACTGGACTGCAGGGAAGTCCCATTTTCCTCCCTTTCCAGTTTGCCTTTTATAACTGAAATATATATATATATGGCTCACTAAGGACCCAACCAACCCCCAGATCTCTTGCAGTTAGGTGGAGTCAGGTGATTAGTCTTGGCTAATGGATAGTAAATGACCAAAGAGCTTAAGAGCAAGTGAGTGATGCTGTTGAGGTAACCTGGAAACCACACGTTGAGACAGCAGTATCATAAGGCCAATTAGCCCCGATTTATCATGCAGCATTTAGTCAGTTCTTATTTGTGAACTGTCTTTGCGGATTCCTCTGCTTACTAAAATTTATTTGTGACCCCAGAATCAGTATCCATGGCAATCTCACAATCATTCACAGACATGAGCAGAGTGGTGAAAAATCTGAGTCGCTTGATGTGCACATCCCTAGCTGAGGTCAAACAAGGCAGTACTCCTCCGTGCCCATACTACCCCGAACGCGCTTCATCTCTTCTGATCTCAGGAGCTAGGCAGGGCCGCTGGTTGGCACGTGGATGGGAAACAAGGCAATACTCTACCTTCTTCTCACACTGTAAATACGTGTCCTTTTCACCATCTAGTGCCACAATTTTAGTATTTTTTGTGCTTTTTGTTAGTAATTTCACTGTTTAAAATGGTCTCCCAGCTTCACGCTCCTAATGCACAGGAAGTCTGCGATGCACCTTACGAGAAAACGTGTGTATGATAAACATTATTCAAGTATAAGTTATAGTACTGTTGAAAGAGGCCAATGCTACTGAATCAACAACATATTATAATTAAGTAAGGTGTCTTTAAACAGAAACACCTTACAGAAAAACATTATACAGGAGGGAAGGGGAGTTTGGGGGAGAATGGATACATGTATATGTATGGCTGAGCCCCTATGCTGTCCACCTGAAACTGTCACAACATTACTAATCAGCTATAACTCCAATACAAAATAAAGTTTAAGATAAAAACACCATAGATAAAATAAAAACACATAACCAAAGTTATGTATCCATCCACTGATATTTGAAGATGTTTGGAGATCAAATGGGGAAACCATGGTCCAAAATTAAAGCTTATTACAAACCATATGCAAAAAAATTTTAATTACATCACAACAGTATCTAAATCCTAACTTCTCTTCCAAAATGCTCTTGAGGAACCATCATAGTTACCTGGCATAGAGTTTGAATCTCTTCCTTGACTCAAGGATAGTTATAGATGGGCTATAGACGGGCTTCCCTGATAGCTCAGCTGGTAAAGAATCCGCCTGCAATGTGGGAGACCTGAGTTTGATCCCTGGGTTAGGAAGATCCCCTGGAGAAGGGAAAGGCTACCCACTCCAGTATTCTGGCCTGGAGAATTCCATGGACTGTATTGTCCATGGGGTCGCAAAGAGTCCAACACAACTAGGCGATCTTTACTCACTCTTAGCAGGGATACTAGGTCAGAGCAAGGATGAAAAGGAAGCTGGAGGAGTAATGGACTCATTGCCAGTGGGGCTTGATCCTTAGGCCCTGAAATATTTTTATTTTGTCAGAAAAAAAAATGTTTTGGTCGTGCCTGTGGTGCTTGCAGAATGTAGGATCTTAGTTCCCCACCCAGGAATTGAACCTGGGCCCTCGGCAGTGTGCGTGTGGAGTCCTGACCACTGAACTGCCAGGGAACTCCCCCAGTAGCATCTTTGAGTAGTTTTTTTGAGTAGGGTCTGAGGACCAGCAGAATTGGCTTCCCTTGTTGACATGTTAGAAAGTACAGAATCTCTGGTCCCATCCTCAGGGCCTATTGAATCAAGTGTTACATACACACATTAAAATTTCAAAAGCACATTATAGCTATATGATGACTGATTCCCCTTCCCCTTTTTATATCTTACCTTCTTAAACGAATGGCCTGTGCTTGCTGCCTCATTCTTTTAACTCCTTTTATATATGTGTATATATATTTATTTATTTATTTATTTATTTATTTATTTATTTATTTATTTATTTGGCTGAACCAGGCCTTAGTTGCAGCATGTGGAATGTCTTAGTTGTGGCATGTGGGATCTAGTTCCCTGACCAGAGCTCAAACCCGGGCTCCCTGCATTGGTAGTGCAGAGTCTTAGCCACTGGACCACCCGGGGAAGTCTCTCTCTCAAACTTCTTTTTTTTTTTTCTCTCAGACTTCTTTTCTGGCTCCTCTTTCTCCTCCTATCCTTCAAACGTTCCTGTTTCCCAGGCTTCTGACTCCAGTCCACTTTTCTTCTATTTGCACTAACTAAATGGAAATCTTTTGTTATCTCTAATTCTGGTTGATTCCTTTGAGGTTGCTAGGTATACAAGGGCATCTAAAATTGTATCTGTAGTTCTTCGCTCCAAATATTGATGCCATATTTCTTCTTATACGAGTTTATAATTTTATTGGTTTATTTTCGGTTGTGCTGGCTGTTCATTGCTGCTTGGGCTTTTCTCTAGTTGTGGTGAGTGGGGGCTGCTCTCTAGTTGAGGTGCACAGGCTTCTCATTGTGGTGACTTCTCTTGTAGCAGAACATAGTCTCAATGGTTGTGGAATATGGGCCTAGCTGCCCTGTGGCAAGTGGGATCACCCCAGATCAAGGACTGAACCTGTGTCTTCTGCATTGGCAGGCGGATTCTTTACCACTGAGCCACCAGGGAAGTCCATTAGTACAAGATTTTAAATATAATACTGATGTTCATTTTTCAAACATTTATGTTTTGTTCCATATTTTATGGGAAATGTCTAAAATGCTTTTCCTTGAAACATAATATTAGTTCTTAGTTTTAGATAATCTTTCCTTACTTTATTTTAAAAATTGAGATTTAATTCATATAAAATTTACCATTTTAGAGTATACAATTTAGTGTTTCAAGTATTCCTCATACATATATATGTTCATACATGTTAACACTCAACAAGTGATAGAATTTTTAATAATAAACATTTCTAAAGATTTGAGTCATCCAACAGGATCCTGTCTAGATAATGTTACCAGTAACTAGAAACATCAAACATTGGATAACCCCCTTTCAGTGATGTTCTGTAAAGTCTTGCTACTTTGACAGGAGACAGATTAACTCTGAGGTCCATTCTGACACTAAAAATCTGTGGGACATACTGATTTGCCCTGCCCCCTACAGAGTGGACTCAATGCCCTTAGAAATAGCAATGGAAAAAAGGGACACAGTTTTGGCCCAGAAACAGGTGAAAACACTTTGATTAAAACTTTGAGTAAAGTTAACGGTGCACAGGAGAAGCAATGTTCTCAGAGTAGCAATGGAAACAACTGTTGTTGCTGTTGAGTTGCTAAGTCACATCCAACTCTTTTTGACGCCATGGACTGCAGCACCAGGCTTCCCTGCCCACTATCTCCCAGTTTGCTCAAATTCATGTCCTTTGAGTCAGTGATGCTCTCTAACCATTCCATCCTCTGTCACCCCCTTCTTTTGCCTTCAGTCTTTCCCAGCATCAGAGTCTTTTTCCAGTGAGTTGGCTCTTTGAATCAGGTGGCCAAAGCAATGGCAACTAGAGTTTTCGATTAGTTACACTCACAGCTTCTGGGGTCTCCTCACCCCCAACCCCCAGGGACCTGTACCCACTAGTGAGGTAAATTAGGATTCTACCAGGAAGTAGATGCTTCAGAAAAGATGGGGGCCCTACTGACAATGCCAAGGGAAGAGTGAGACTCAGGAGCTGTGGAAAGGGTAGAAAGCCAACGACTGGGGCCCCCAGCGGCATCTGAACCAACTTTCACCTGATCTTGTTATCGTTTCAGTATCCCCTCTGTCTCCGAGACAGATCACTGCACAGTTATCAACAGGATTTATTAGACTTTGAATTCTACATTTCCAACTATTTCCTTCATTTATGTTGGCCAGAAATAGTGAAGCCATCCACTGTCAGCTTTACTTGTCTTCAAAGTTCATCAGTGCCTGCACTGTAAAGAAACAAATAGACTGTGAGGCTGGACACCTGAGAATATTCAGAACATACAAATGTTTGGTGAAGATCCTGCTTCTCTGGGTTCTAGGTTCCTACTCATCTTTACTAATCTTTACTCTAAATTAAGCTGTATGAGTCTGTCCTCTTTGCCAGAGATGAATTAACCAGTATTTAAAGAAACCACCTTGCTACCTTTACCTCTCTTTCACCCTGTTCTCAGAACACATGGGGAGGCAAGGCCAGGACAACTGGAAAAATGCACCATTCTGAAGTAGGCAAAACCCGTCTGACATTCTGCTCTCAATTCCATGTTTCAGTGTTACAAATTCCTCTTAATGCTCTCCTGTGCCCACCTCTGGGGGGCACATTCCTCTTCCCCCATTGATATTTTCACTTTGGGTTGATTTTAGCCAGGTATTAGGAGGATAACACTAATCCATATTAAACTGCAAAAGTATAAAAATGCCCCTAACTCTTCTAGTTTTTTTATTTTTACAGGAAAAATTCATTGATCCAAATTCATCTCCAGGTAGTGAAATCTCAAGTGAGAAATAAGGAAAGATAATTTTCAGCAGGTAGTTCTCTGCTTAAATCAAACTCTGCTATTTCAATCACATATTGTCTCTGTATCGGCCGACTCTAGAAAGGACTGAAAGGAAGAGAATTCATAAATCTCTTGAGGACAGTGGGCTCTTGAGAGCTTTCTGCCAACTATCCAATCCTCACAGCTATCAAACTTGAGCCTGAGGCCCTTACTGCCTGGGTCTAAAAGGCGACCTTCAAAGAGAGGAAACACGCATTACAAAAGGGGGTGGGCTGCCCAAACAGAGCAAAAGCCCACCTTACTATCCTAATTCCCAATAGCTGGAACTGGATACTTTTCTCTTGGGAAATCAGCTCTCAGACATCACAAGATTTGTGTCCCCTACCAGGGAGATTCCCATGTGGCAAAGTGGTAAAGAACCTGCCTGCCAATGCAGGAGGCACAAGAGACGAGGGTTTGACCCCTGGGTGGGGAAGATCCCCTGGAGAAGGGAATGGCAATCCACTCCGGTATTCTTGCCTGGGGAATCCAAGGACAGAGGAGGCTGGTGGGCTATGGTCCATGGGGTCACAAAGTCAGACACGACTTAGTGACTAAATAATAATAACCAGAGAAGCAGAGTTGCCAGGTCCTCACTAGGTTAGAAGAAATCAGGACATATGCCCAGAAAGTGATATGCCAAATGCTGAATTTGCCTTTTTTAGGTGTGAGGTAGAAATTCAGAGGCTGAGATGCCACAACAGTGAACATACTCTGTCTCCCCAGTTATATATGCTGTTCTGATGAACTTAACTCCTAGCATCCATGGCATACCTGCAAACTCTTGTAACCGCTTACGCTCTTCCAGGTTATACTGAAGCTCTTCTAGCAACTCAAAATACCGGAAGAGTGAATCTCTAGGCCAGACAACACGTTCATCCTGATCCATGTCCATTAGCCCAGGCAGATTCTGGTGCACGTGAGTCTCCCAGTCCAGCTGACCTGGAGGGAGGAATGCTTCTTAAAAATATATTGAGATTCATGGAAGTTGGATAAAAGCTGATAGATTCTATGGGGGTAGAGGTGGAGAAAGCAGGGATGAAAGAGGATATGGGAAGCAGAGGAGGAAAAAATGTGTAGCGCCAAGAAACCACTTTTACAGTAAACAAAGAAAGCCACACCATACTTTTAAAAACTGCAGCAGAATCACAGAGGAGGTGTGAAGAAAGTAATCAAGGCCAGAACATCGGACTGGTGGAGAAAATGGGGAAATAACACACAGTGGGAGGACTCTTATTAAGATTTTGGGATGTCTCATGGAAAAGAGGGGTCTGAATTCAACTGGAAGAAACCTTCTGCTTACCGATAGGGTCATAATATCTGGAGCTAGAAATAGACGAGCAGGAGGAAGATGAAGAGGAGGAAGAGAAGGAAGATGTAGACTTTCCCCTTTTGGACAAGGACTTTGTTGTTGACTTAGATGCTTCTGCACCCTTTCTAGTGGCACTCTGTTTAGACTCTTGTTTAGAAGCTTCTGTTAAGTCTGAAGCTCTCCTTTGTTGACTGGCACCTCTGTAAGTGAAAAGGGAAATTTCATTGCTTCAAATACATCTACACAATATAACTAGTTCTATCACTATTCTAGTCCTGGCCCTGGCCTAAAAGTAGAACTTAAAAGCAATGAGACATCTCTGTTGTGGCATCTCAGCCTCTGAGTTTCTACCTCACACCTAAAAAACTGCTGCCAAGATCTAAGCTTAAGCATATCTGACCTAAATTAACCAACGGGATGCACTTCTATTAGTGCCCTTCACTGCATAATTTCTGTGCTCAATCTTACCCAGGCTTTCACAATCCACACTCCACCTTATTTTGCAGAGTTTTAGCCCCACCCACAGCCCTTGGCCCTATGTCTATTACACCACAACTATGCCCCCTGCCCCCTCGATTCCATCTCATTATCAGAGGACCGTGGGCTCAGGTCTTCATGTCTTCTCCATTTACAGTTGCTCCTTTGGGGATCTCATCTCCTGAGTTTAAATGCCTGCTAGATCCCTGGTGGCTCAGATGGTAAAGAATCGACATGCAATGCAGGAGACCTGTGTTTGATCCCTGGGTCAGGAAGACCCCCTGGGGAAGAGAATGGCTACCCACTCCAGTATCCTCACCTGGAGAATTCCATGGACAGAGGAGCCTGGCAGGCTACAGTCCATGGGGTCATGTCAGACACGACTGAGTGACTAACACTTTCACTTCAGATGCGAATTTAAGCCCCTTGTCCAGATCTCACTCCTTAAACCAGACTTGTATATATAACTTTTACTCATGTAGAAAGCTTGAATGTCTAAGGACATCTTAAATCCAATAAAAACTAAACTCTGTTCCCACCAATCTTCCATTCACAGTCTTCCACATCTCAGCTTACTGACCCTTCCTGCTCAGGTCAGAACTCTCATCCTTAATTCTTCTCTCATAACCTACATCCAACCCACCAAGAAATCCTGTTGATTCTACCTTCAAAATATATCTTTAAAATATATATATATATCTTTTCTCATTAGTATTGGTGCCACTCTGGCCTGAACCATCATCTCTTGCTTGGATAGCAGCATAGCCTAACTCATCTCTACACTTCTCTTCTTGTTCTTCTTATAGTCTATCATCAACACAGCAACCAGACTAATCCTTCTCTCTTTTGAAAATATTTATTTGGCTGCACTGGGTCTGAGTTGCAGTGTGTGAACTTAGTTGCCCCAACACATGTGGGATCTTACTTCCCGGAGCAGGTATCAAACCTGCATCCTCTGCATTGCAAGGTATATTCCTAACCACTGGACCACCAGGGAAGTCACCAGACTAATCCTTCTTAAACGTAAGTCATTACATGTCGTTACTCTGCTATGTTCCCCTTTTCACCCAAAATCAAAGTCTAAGTCCTTACAGTGGTCCCCCCAACCCTATCAGGTCCGCATTGTCTTTCTGACCTCATCTCCTATCACTCTCCCCCTGCTCACTCTGCTTCAGTCACAATAGTGTCCTTGCCATTTCTCAACCAGCACCAGGCATGCTTCTTGTTTAGGACCTTGGTACTAGCAGTTCCCTCTGCCGATAACACTCCTCCCATAGATATCCACGTAGTAATGCCCTCACGTCCTCCCAGTCTTTGCTCAAATGTTACATTCTCAATAAGGTCACTCTATCTGTTTAAAATTAAAACCCATAATGAATCCCCACCCTATACTCCAATCCCCCTTAACCTGTTCTACATTTTACTTTTTTCATAATGCTTATCATATTTTAAAATTTTTTAATTGAAGTATAGTTGATTTGCAATGTTAGGTTAATTTCTGCTGAACATTGCAAATGTTATACTCAGTTATACACAAATATACTTTTTATATTAAATGCTTATCATATTTTAACATATTAATTTTCTTTTTAATACATTCATTGTTTATTGTCTCTTTCCTCCTACTATTTTATATAAGTTCCAATGAGAACAGGCATTATTGTCTATTTTGTTCACTGATATGTTCCAAGCAACTAATAAGTATTCAATAATTATTAGTTGATGCATTTCTTCTTTTTCTTTCTGCTCTCTTGTCTACTGCTGAATATTCAAGGCTTTGAATAGCATCTGTTTCATGGAAGGTACTTTTACTAGTTTCCTATGGTTGTGATAACAAATTACCACAAACTTGGTAGCCTAAAACAACAGAAATTTATTCTCTCACAATTCTGGAAGCTGGAAATCTGAAATCAACATGTCAACAGGGCCATGATCCCTTTGGAAGCTCAAGGACAGAAGGTTCCTTGCTTCTTCTAGCTTCTGGTAGTTGCCTGGCATCCACTGACTTCCTTTGGCTTATGGTTGCATCACTCCAATCTCTGTCTCTGTCTTGACAATTTCTCCTATTCTGTGTCTATGTCTTCTCTCCCATATCTTATGAGGCTCCTTGTCACTGGACTTATGGCCCACCTGGATAATCCAGGATGATTACATCTCAATCCTTAATTTATTTGCATCTGCAAAGACCCTTTTTCCAAATAAGGTCATGTTCACAGGTTCCGGGGGTTAAGACACGGACATATCTTCTTGGAGGCCACCATTCAACCCAATACAATAAGTAGTTATTGAAGGAACAGAACCCTCTCTCAAAGCCAATCTTCACCTTTGGTTTTCTACCTCTTTCACAGGTGTGCATCCCACTTCACTCCTAACCTGGCATCCAGTTTGCTAATGCTTGACCTCTGTGCCTCAGGGATTAGGTTTTGTCTCCTGCAAAGAAAAAAAAAAAAAAGGCAAAACAGTGAAGAGAGTTACACTGAAGCAGGAGGGTAGTAAGAAAAAAGAAGAATTCTGATCATTAAGTGAAGAAAACTGAGTGAGGAGAACAACTTGTAGTATAGGAGTGAAAAAGAGCAGGAAAGCCCTGAAAGTGGATAAAGAATCAGGCAGTATTTTAGAGCTGGGGAATTCTAACTCTGAGGCAAATCTGTCACACAGTGGGAAATGGGATGAAGGCCAAAGAGTAGAAATAGGGGGTGAGATCAGGAAACCCTCGAGAACTGAAGGTGTGTATGAAAACAAGGCAGCAGACCTCTGGATGATCTGCCGCTTGAATATGTCGGCTTTGTACTGGACCTCCAGGTGCGTCATCTCCTCGTTCAGCTCATGCCTGATATTCTGGAAGTTAGTAACTGCCCCAAAGGGCCATTAGGAGTCGGAAGGCGGCGGTGACTAGACCGGGGGAGACAGCTTGGGTGGGGAGAAACCAAGTGAAATATCCATTCCAGGGCCCACACTTTCCTGTTACATCAGATTCTCCTCCCTCGGTAATCCAGCAAACCTAGCTTTCACTCTAACTTCTTCCCAACCACCCCCTCCCACCAAGTTTCACCTCTATGCTTACCCATCATGGCTACTATGATATTTCGAAAGATAATGGAACCAAGTAACAACCAGAGGATGACATAGATGCTGCTGAAGGCGCGACTGACCTCAGGCACCTTCCAGGTGTCCTGAAGCAGTGCATACCAGTGATCCAGGGTGAAGAGAATGAACACGGTTACTATGGAATTCAGTAGGTCCCTAAAGGAAAAGGAGATGTGTGTACAGAGGGAGCTAATTCTCTACGAAACACTATCATTCATACTCTCACAGCAACATAAGAGCACTTCTTTGCAGTTTGCTCTGACTTTGGCTCCTTTCCTACCATACTCTTTTTTTTTTTTTTAACCTAATCTTCAGTTTGAGATTATTTTACTTGCTTTTCCCTTGTTATGAATAATCTATAAATATCTCTCAGTATTCCATCAGTGCCTGGGGCACAGTAGGTACTCAATACATAGGTATTAACTGAATGTTTAAAAATTGAATCACCAGGGAGTGGGGTTCAGGATGGGGAACACATGTACACCCATGGCTGATTCATGTGAATGTATGGCAAAAATCACCACAATATTGTAAAGTAATTAGCCTCCAATTAAAATAAATAAATTTTTAAAAATTGAATCACGAACTACACATTATTTTTGCACATTCATTCTACACTGTCCTTCAGTGTAGTATGGACTTCACCTAGTAGAATCACAAATTTAGCAAACATCATGCCTACTTGGTTTGCTGCATGAATTGATAGCCAAGTAAGTGGATGGATATGTGGCATAAACATGTGATTCCAGATAATGAATATGATGAATATATCACAAAAGATCTCAGAAGATATCTAAATTTTCCCTGTTATCCCTCCATATACAAATTATTAAAAACATCAGAGCCTGAATAGAATGAATTCTATGACTTCCCTAAATCAATACTCTTACAAAACCACCTGTTAGTCTAAGATAGAGAAGTGCTGACAAGATTGGATTCCAATTCATAAATAACTTTGTCTCCTCTAAATCCAAATAGACTTTCTACTAGTAATCAGAGTTCTCTAGACAGAGATAACTAGAATTTTACTTTTGAAAGAGTGTAAGTATGTTCATGTGTAACTTCTACACTGAGAGATTGCAGTAAAACCAGTGACCAAGCTCGAGACTCATGGTAACACTTATTGATCACTAACAATGTGTGAAATGCTGTGTAAGTGCTTAAATAAACTACATTATTTATCCCTATACTCTTGAAGTTATGCTACTTTTAATCCTATTTTTCAAAAGAGGTAACTGAAGCAGAGAAACCAGGGCTTAACCAATGGATATACTGCTTTTTAAAGGTAGTTGATGAGGGTAAGTTTGAATTTGCAAAACCCAGAGCAAACCAGGAACTAGCTGCCCTATTCTCAAAATTGGAGCTAATACCACTCACTATTCTTTGCTTTCTCTTTCCCTTTCCCTCCAGTGTTCTTTTCCCATTTCTAACAACAGACTATACTTGTATTACTGCACTTTGGGTTCGCTTCCCAGTCTCATGTCCAGATTCTCTCCCCCACCTTCCAGGCTCCCCCCACCACCCGGTCCTGCCTACGAGAAGCACTCATGGTACTCCAGGTCCTGGCGAGGTGAACGGGTGTAATTCTCGAAGAAGTAGACACCAGCCACGGCAAAAATGTAGAAGAAGATGAGCAGCAACATCAGGAGGAAGGTCATGCTCTGAGGGCCATGACCTTGAGTCAGAGCTGGGCCAGACTAGGCTGATGGCCACCTGCAGCCCAGTTTGGCCCACCCTGCAAATCCCCCACCAGACCCTCGCTTCTAGCCTCAGCCCAGTCATCTCTTAAACACAGTGGCTTGTCCCCAGCCCTTTCTCGTGGACATTTCACAGGGTCCTTATTGCCTTCTTTCACCCACCCAGACTGTTTCCTGTTATACCCCCATGTTTTTCCACTTTGCCCACTTGATAGAGCTGCAATAGTCAATTACCTTGAGGGCCCTGACCAGGGCCAAAATGATGACTCGAACTTGATGGAATCGCGCAAAGAGTTTAAGAGACCTTAGCAGCCGGCAGATCCTCAGCAGCTGGAGCCATACAGGCTGGCTTGTTACCCCTGCCAGCACCACAATCTCAGGTATCAGGGACTGTAGGAAACACACATTGTGAGTAAAATATACCCTCAAGGCACCCAATACAGCTGCCCCTTTTTTATCTCTTCTTTTTCATAGTTCTTTGGTCATCATCCTTTGAATAGCATTTTCTGGGGACTGTTTCCTATTCAATATCCCTATAAAAAATTACTTAAACTCTGCATTTCAACTTGCTCAGATGTAAAAAGGGAATAAATGCAGTGCTTATCTCATTGGATTACTGTGGAGCTCAAATAAAAAAAAAAAAGGCAAGTAAAACAGGATAGTTCCTGACATTTAATAAGTGCCTGGTAGAAGTTATTGCTAAGGTTAATGTGATTAGATTCTTCCTTGCTTCTAATAACAATTCCTGCAATGCCTGACTTTTAGTTTCAGAGAAAAAACAACCAAAATAAGGAGGTTGGGTACATTTCTATTTGTTTCTTCCTATACTGTAATTATCTTGTCTTTCTCAGTCCAGTAAATTAATCTTCAGGATATCTATCTATCCTTACCAATACTGTGACCACAAAGTCAAAGACGTTCCAGGCATTCTTCCAGAAGAGGAAAAAGCTGGATAGCCACATAAGAAGGATCTCCAAGATGAAAACAAGCAAGATGAACCAAGCTGCCACCTCCAGAGTCAGCTTCAGTGTCTCTAATCGGGTATTTGCAGATTCGAGCAATTCTGTGAGAACAAAGGATGAGTAAAGCTTAAAGAAGGGGGAAGTTGAATGATAGAGAATGATTTGCAACTGCTAAAAAGTCAGTTTTGCCCACTGATATGCCATTTTTCTTTTGGAAAATGAAGGAGTTTCTCTCCTTCATACTGTTGTTGCTTCAACCTATGAAACAGAATTAATTGAACATGAAAAATAGCTTCAAGTCATCTCCTGTTGGTACTGGTACGTGTTGACAGCTGCAAGTTACTGCCTTCTCACTCTGGGGTCACAAAATCACCAAGGAATTGCTTAACTACCGCCAATGCTGCCTGCTGTCCGTTGTTTGGTGTTACCAGAACACCAAACTTCACAAAGCAGCAGTGGGCCATCAGAAAAGAATGAAAATGTAGGGTCATGGTATGGAAAGTGTTTTATAACATATCTAGGCACAAGAAACCAAGTTCATGGGATGTATTAGGCTATAATAAGAAATTACCTGGTTATTTTTATTTATTTGGCTGTTATGAGTCTTCATTGGGGCACATGGGCAGCACACAGGCTTCCCAGCACAGGTGTTTCTCTCTAGGTGTGGTGCGTGGGTGGGTTTAGTTATGCAGGTGTGTTTACCTGCCTCTCAGCATGTGGGATCTTAGTTCCCTGACCAGGGACTGAACCTATGTCCCCTGTATTGGAAGGCAGAGCCTTAACCACTGGACCACCAGGAAAGTCCTTTTGTTAGTTTTAAAACTTTCCCTCTCTAGTTTGCCTAAAATTGATTTTATTCTGCAAACTGAATCCAAACTGAACCCTCTGTAGAACCTATCTATTTGCTAACTTCGACTCCTTAACTCATCTTTCAACCCTCTTCACCTCTTCCATACACTTAATAGATGTATATCATGCTGTAGGAAAAAAACATTAAGATCACATCACTCTTATCTTTCACCCTTATCAAGAAGCTCTAGTTCTTGTACACTATCTGCCACTAGCGTGGTATCATTTACAAATCTGAGGTTGTTGATATTTCTCCCAGAAGTCTTGATTCCAGTTTGTGATTCCATCCAGCTCAGCATTTTGCATGATGTACTCTGCATATAGATTTATAATCAGAGTGACAATATACAGCCTTGTATTCCTTTACCAATTTGGAACCAGTCAGTTTTTGGGTTCTAACTGTTGCTTCTTGGCTGGCACACAGATTCCTACGGAGAGAGGTAAGGAAGTTATCTGTTTGTTGTGATCCACACAGTCAAAGATTTTAGTGTAGTCAATGAAGCAGATGTTTTTCTGTAATTCCTTTGCTTTCTCTATGATCCAACAAATGTTGGCAATTTGATCTCTGATTTCTCTGCCTTTTCTAAACCCAGCTTGTAGATCTGGAAGCTCTTGGTTCATGTACTACTGAAACCCAGCTTGAAGGATTTTGAGTATCACCTTCCTAGCGCATGAAATGAGTGCAAATCTACTGTAGTTTAACATTCTTTGGCATTGCCCTTCTTTGGGATTTGAATAAAAATTGACCTTTTCCAGCTCTGAGGCCACTGCTGAGTCTTCCAAACTTGCGGACATATTGAGTGCATCACTTTAACAGCATCATCTTTTAGGATCTTAAATAGCTCAATTGGAATTCCATCACCTCCACTAGCTTTGTTGACTCAATATATAACGTCACATAAAAATTCATTTCTAGACAAATCATATACTTTCTTTTAAAAAAAAAGCATGATCACTTATAAAATGGAAAAAGTATAAATTTACTCACATTTTATTATTAAAATTATATAACACTAAAATAAAATAGTAACATGTTACTCTAAAATATTATTTTTACTTCAGTTTATTTCTCCATATCACAAGAAAAAATATGATAAAATAAAATGATTATAATTACTAAGGAGGTTTTCAAAGTTATGTATGTTTTCCTGGGAAACAAAGTCACAGGACAACAAAGATTGGGGAGCTTTGATCTAGAGAACTGTTACTTACATTACTATTTTTCTCTCTATCTCTAACAGTAATATTTATGATCTGGAAAACTGCTTTTAAAAATCTAAACAAAGTCTTAATGTTTATCACACAAATTAGTCTATTCAAAAAAACTCTTGTTGTCACAAATTATTTCCCTCTGCCAAATCCCTCCTGCCTTTCTATCATGTGTGCATGCTAAGTTGCTTCAGTCCTGTCCAACTCTTTGCAACCCTATGGAATATAGCCCGCCAGGCTCCTCTGTCTGTCCATGAGATTCTCCAGGCAAGAATATTGGAGTGGGTTGCCATGCCCTCCTCCAGGGGATCTTCCCAACCCAGGGACTAAACCCTCATCTCTTATGTCTCCTGCATTGGCAGGCGGGTTCTTTCCACGAGAAGGTACCTAATGATCTTGCCAGGTGGCTGCCACACAGGAAGTCCACCCATCCTCTGGCACAATAATCATATTTCATATTCAGCTGTTTTACCAAAAAGAATGGTTAGCGTTTTTCTATTTTGATTTGCCCATTAGATCCAAGGAATTCCATATATTTACTGCCCATTAGATCCAGGGAATCTCATATATTTACTTTATTCTAAGGCTTAAGTCTATACCCCTAATCCTACAAGGTAAACACTTGCCAATTATCATGATTAACAAGAAACAGGAAATGTGGGTAAAATCCTCACCACAGTGGGGAGGAAATAAAAGAGTTCAAAGCATATAGTATACTGGAGTTGGCCAATGATACCAATTACTGTTGTCTTAAGATACTTTTGACCTGACTGCATTAAAAGACTACTGTTAAGGTGGGAAACTTCCCCCAAATAGTGATGAAACAAGGAAGTGAGTACTTCTACTATCCTTTCTGAGTGGTTTGTTTGAGATGATAATCAAATGAGTTCTTGATTTTCCAAATATTCTTTTGCTTTTAATTCATTTCATAAAATTTATGACAGGTTTTAGAGTCATTTACTCTTTAAGTTATTCTTCTGGCTCATCTAACATCTTAGTTGTACCTTTACATACATTGTGAACTTTCTTATTTGTACTTAAATAATCTTTCTAAATCTATTTCTAAAAATGTAAATGTTGGATCACCCGCTGATAGGCACTCAGTATCTCTATTAGGAGATTATTTAAAAAAAAAAAATACAGTATGTCCGCTACACACGAACCTTCAAGTTGCAAACTTTCAAAGATGCCAATGTGTGTTCACACATCCAATCACGTAAGTTAGCTCATGTGTCTGGTGTACACGGTCATGCGTGTGCATCCTCTACTAGCGGTTGTGCTTTTGTGTACTTTACTGTACAGTACCACATAGAGTACAGGATCTTTATTTCAACACCAGGATGTCCAGAAGCAAGTGTAAAACAGCGGTGATGTAGCTGGTACTGCTAAGAGGCACCAGAAATTGGAGGTTCAGAGAAAGGAACAAAGAGAGACAAGAGAAAGAAGTAACTGAAGAACCAGAGAGAGTCACAACGCAGGAAATGGCGAGGGGATTTTCTTTGAGATACTATTAGCTTTTGAGGCACAGAACCCGAACATAGAACACAAAAGGTTGCAGCAGCCGTTCAGAACACAATCCAGTGCCCCCGTGTCATCTGGGACAAGTTAAAAAAAAAAGAGCTATGACCCAGACATCACTGGATCGTTTCTTTCATGAGCCTAGATAGAAATGAATTCAGCAAGGAACCAGAACCTTTCAACACCTGCCATCAACATCAGGCGTGAATGAAACTGCAGCTTGCTCTCCATCTCCTATTGTCGATGATGCTTCAGCTCTACCATTTCCCACCTCCTCTCCCTCCTCATCAGTACCTCTTCTTGCTTGGTCACTTGATGCCAACTCCTGTGTGCCAAATCTCGTAACATACCTTTCAAGGTACTGTACTGTGAGATTTACAATATTTTATTTTTTTCAGTTTTTAAATTTTTTAAAATTTATTTTTGGCTGTGCTGGGTCTTTGTTGCTGCACGGGCTGTCTCTAATTGTGATGAACAGGGACCCTTTCTAGTTGAGGTGTATAGGCTTCTTGCTGTGGTGGCTTCTTCTGTTGCAAAGCACAGGCTCTAGGGTACACAGGCTCCAGAGCACAGGCTCAATAGCTGTGGCACACAGGATTGTTCCTCCATGGCATGTGGTAGCCTCCTGGATCAGGGATCGAACCTGTGTCTCACGTGTTGGCAGATGGATTCTTTACCACTGCACCATCAGGGAAGACCTTATTTGTTTTTTCTTTACATATCATTTGTGTGAAAAGTATTATAAACCTATTACAGTAAGGTAGCACTATGTAGCAGATGGTGTTAGTTGGGTACCTTGACTAACTTTGTTGGACTTATGAATGCTCTCAGAATGACTCGTTCATATGTAGGGGACTTCCTGTATTAGACTAAACTAACACAAGAAATACAGCTGGTTTTCCTATCTCCAATTCCTTAGGAGTCGACAACCCCTTCCTCTAAGTGTCTGGACTAACTTAGACTACTTTTGAGAGCCCTCCCAATGTTTCTAGGCCTTGGCAATTGCACAAATCCAGGAGACTTAATATAATTGTCACTATCACAATTCAAATAACATTCAAAAGTGTAAAATGATCAACTTGAAGGAAAAATGACTCCCATCCTTTCATTCAATGTGAGTTCTCACCTATTTCAACCATCAGCACAATTGTATTCAAAAAGATGAGGAAGATGATAAAGTTTCTGAAGATAGGACCTGTCTTCTCTTAAGAAAACATACAGAATGAAGTTCTTTCTAATTTATGCAGGTGACATAATTAGGGCAATAAAACCCTAATGAGAAGAAAATGGAGTTTGGGAAGGAAAAAATAAGTCCTTAGAGAGATGATGAGGCAAGAGAGAGTAAAATGGGATAAAAATGAGTGGTAAGAGGAACCTCCCTGGTGGTCCAGTGGTTAAAATTCTGCCTTCTAATGCAGGGGGTGTGGGTTCAATCCCTGGTCCAGAACTAAAGTCCCACATGCCCTGGGGTATGACCAAAAATTAAAAAAAAACAACACAAAAAACTCTTGTTGGGGGTGGGGAGAATAGGAGGAAGGGGGATAGTTAGGGAGTTTGGGATCGCCGTGTACACACTGTTATATTTAAAATGGACACCCAAAAGGGACCTACCGCATAGCACAGGGAACTCTGCTCAATGTTTTGTGGCAGCCGGGATGGGGGCGGAGCTTGGGAGAGAATGGATATATGTATATGCATGGCTGAGTCCCTTTGCTGTCTGCTATCACAACACTGTCAACTGGCCATGCTCCAATAAAAAATAAAGCTTTTTAAAACAAATAAGTGGCATGAAAGGATACGCTCAAGGACCCATCCAGCCCATAAGGAAAGAGGTGGCCTCATGCTGCATCGCACTCGAAGGGTGCTCATTAGCCTCTGGGCATGTGTAATCCGTTCTACATGACGAGGTTTTATGGAGAAGCGCACAAGCTGGTGTTGATCTCCCAACATAAGATTCTTCAGATGGGAAGAATCTACATAAAAAATAAAAGAGACAGTGGATATAAAAATATAAAAAGAAATCTTTGGGAGTATCAAGAGCAGGTAGGGTTGAGGGGCAGGAACACTTAAGTAATGGACTCCCCCGCACCCCCCGAGTATAAGGGCTTACCTTGCTGTTCCTTCACACAACAACTAATACTAGTTTGAAGTAAGAGCTAACCTATTGCTTATGACCAACACTGTTCATGCCCAAGATAAGTTACAGGTTCAACCCTCAAAGTTTTATGTGTCTTTGGTAGAAATATCCAGGCCAGCCAGGATTACTAGCTATCCTAGGCCTGAAAACAAGGCACATAGTTCTATCTCCTGGATTCAGAGTTTTATTTATTAAGTCTTTATCAAGTTTGGTGCAACTTTTTAAAGCTGCAACCAAACCAATCTCCCCTGAATTTTCCACCCTTAAAATTTTCTCTGCTTCCTACTCTTTGGAGGGTGTGGTTACATGTGTGTGTGTGTGTGTTCAGTCACTCAGCTGTGTCCCACTCTTTGTGACCCCATGGACTGTAGCCCCCTGGGCTCCTCTGTCCATGGGATTTTCCAAGCAAGAATACTGGAGAGGGTTGCCATTTCTTCCTCCAGGAGATCCTCCCCACCCAGGGATGAAACCCGCATCTCCTGCATTGGCAGGCAGAATTCTTTACCACTGTGCCACCTGGGAAGGGTGTGGATGGGAGCCTTAAATGCGTCTTAGTGAAGAAAGAGGCTGCTGACCAAGTATCTCTCGGATTGTGTGCCGTGGCACAGCTTGGCTCAAGCCTTGCAGGTGCTCGATGAGAGAGAAAGTATCAATGAGCCGGGAACGAATGGCATCAGCCCGGGGTAGCTGCATGTGTCCTGATGGGTGATAAGTGGCCATGTCTGTTAAGAAAATAAAAGAGTGTCATTTCATTTTTGGAGTTGCACCAAGACTTAGAGATTCTCTTCCCTTTCTCCCAAGGTCTTCGAACTTAAGAAGACAAATACATTGTACTCAGACTCAAGGCCTTTTGAAACAAAAGGAGACGGGAGTCATTCAAGAATCTGCGTAGTTGACTAAGCGGCCAGGCTCCTTCACCCGTGTGACAGCATTTCTAGTTAAATGCAGCAGCCACAAAAGATAGAGGAGTCCTGGGGTTGGACAAAGAGGAATTCAAGCACCTGGACCTGAAGGAGTCAGGTAATGCAATGAGGTGGGACAGGGGGAGGGCTCAGGGACTGCCCCCGAAAAGAAAAAACCCAGTTCCACGAGGAACTGGGTAAAAGGCAACAGCCTGACATTTTGAAGATGTGTCCGATCCCAAGCGTGACCACTCCAACGCGCTCCCTCGGGTGCCAGCTCCTTCTCTCAATTCCCGCTCCTGGGCCTCATCTCAGCCCAGGCTCTCTTCCGCCCACTCGGCCCTGACTTCAACTCCTCCGCCTCCGGTTCTGGAGCCCCCAGAGGTCGGCTCTCCGCAGGCGGGATGAGCTCAGGGTCGGCTCCCAGCTCCGCAGCGCCACACGTCCGGCTCCCGCCCGGTCCCGCCCGGTCCCGCCCGGTCCCGGGTTCCGGCTGGCCCCCGGACCCACCCCCCAGCAGCAGCCAGCGACCCGGGCCCCCCTTCGCAGCCCCGGTCGCCCCGACGCTCGCCGCCTCGGCCCCGCCCCGCGCTCCGGCCACTCGGCGGTTACCAGCTGGTCCCGCCCGCCCGACGCAGGCGCCGCACAGCCAATCGGCGGCTGCCACACTGCGGCCCGAGCCGGGCTGGGGGGTTGGGACCTCCGGCTGCAGGTCCGCCTGGGCCAGACGCGCGTTCGCAGGCTGAGGGTGCGTGGTCGCCGGCCCGGTCTCCGCAGTCCCCGCCGAGCCCCCGACCCTCCTGGCCGCCCCTCCACCTTACCTCGTCGCCATGCGCCTCCGCCGCCTGCCGCTGTTCCCGGGCCTGGCGCTGCTCCTCGCCGCGGCCCGCCTCGCTGTTGCCTCCGATGTGCTGGAACTCACGGACGACAACTTCGACAGTCGCATCACCGACACGGGCTCTTCGGGCCTCATGCTGGTCGAGTTCTTCGCCCCCTGGTGAGGCCACTCAGCCGGGGCGTCAGAGGGGCGGCCGGGTGGGCAGGGGCGAAGGCGCGGGAACGGTTGGGCCTACGCAGCGTCGGCGCCCTCCATCATTCCGGAGAGCACGGCTGCGGCCGGCAGGTTTTCCGCCCACGGAGACCCGAGCTGCCTCGCCGAGAGCGGAGACGTCGGTGCTGATCCTCCTGGAAGCGAGAGCCGAGAAGGAGAAAGCGAAGGCCCCTCTCGCGCAGGGCCACATCCTTACCTCGGTGCTCCTGCCGCACTTCCTATTTGCAGAGGGTTTAACCACCCCCTCCCCCTCCACTCAGCTTCAATGGTATCTTTAGAGTTTCTGCGTGAGTCAGTGCTACTGTTTTCCATTCTACAGACTAGGCTTCGCGAGACCTTATATTGAAAGCTAACGTTTCGCCAAATGCAGAGGCCCTGGGCCCCCAGGGTACTTCCTTTCTTCTTGCCCCAGGCAGCCGTTGGTTTCTAGCCAAGGTCACTCAAGTGGCTGCAGAATGGTCACTTGTGCTTTCTTAAGGCAAGCAGTTATTGTGTCCATCGCCTGGTGCACACTTTATTCGTTCAACTGATGCTTCTCAGCACCAGCAGAATTCAGAAAGAGTAGATGAACAGATTAATTCCACCAGAAGCTGTCTAAATGGTCAGTTTCAATTAGGATTTCTGGAAAATGCCAGAGAAGACCCCAATGAGAAAGTAAGCAGTGTTGGAGAAACACTGCACTTAAGGGTGACTTTACTAGGGTGTAAGTTCCTTAGGATACAGCTGACTGGGGGTGGGGGTGGGGAGAGAGCAAATAGCATTTCTGGCCCAGGAAACCTGAATGTTGGCTTTTTTTTTTTTTACCCCCAAGATATTTATCATAGCAAACAATGATTATCTTAACACTGGGGACGGCTCAGTATAACCATGCTAATTACAGTACTTAATTTTTCTCCTGCCACAGTGACCCTTAATTAAAAACTTTGTATTCAGAAGTCTAAGTAAGAGAAAGTTAGTGGATAACTTGCATTTCCTTCTGTCAGTAACTCAGGTCTTCACTCTGCAGGGGCTCAGCCGACCTGAGGCTACACTAGAAGTCCTGTAGTGAAGACCACCCGAACCAGAAGGGTGTGCTTATTTAGCAACACGTTTTCAACTTCTGATAGACTTGCATCTCGGGCGTTCCCATGACTAACTGGGAGTGCTGATTACACATCATAGGTGGTCTTTATACATCTCTAGAACGCCCATTCTCTCAGAAACAACTGGTCCCAATCACATAACAATGCTGTTGACTTTGAGGGGGTGTTCCTGTAGTTAGATTGGCTGTATGGAGCTGTATCAAAACTGGGAGGTGCCTCTGTGACCTACGGGGGTGAATATGAAGTGAATTGCTGGAGAATTGTGGGCTATCAGACTGTTAGTTTAAAGCAGGTTTTTATTTTTACAATTGAGGTGTTCTGTGCTACTTTATGGGCTTCCCTGGGGGCGCTAGTGGTAAAGAACCGGCCTGCCAATGCAGGAGATAGGAGAGACTCAGGTTCGATCCCTGGGTCAGGAAGGTTCCCTGGAGGAGGGCATGGCAACCCACTCCAGTATTCTTGCCTGGAGAATCCCTTGGACAGAGGAGCCTGGCAGGCTACAGTCCATGGGGTTGCTCAGAGTGGGACACCACCAAAGAGACTCCACACTCATGCACATGCTACTTTAAATTGTTGTATGTGCTTCCCTAAGAACTGCACAGCCATCGTGCCCTAAACTGTCCCTAAAGTTGGGTGGACCTCTGCTATGGTGTCCCCTTTTAACTGGTCTGGAAGGTAAAGAGTCATCCTCCACGATGCCTACAGGAAGGATCAGTTTGCTGAATGAGTAATTTGAAATCAAGGAAGTCTCCTGCTGATGGTGTCCTTATTTCTTCACATTCAGCTATTTTTATTTATTAATATTTCAGCTGAAAATATTTTCCAGCTGGTATTATTCCTTTGTACTCTTGTTACATGTGAGATAGGAACAGTTAAAGAAGCCTTGTTAAGAGTAAAATGGACCTGTTTTGAGCAAGTAGTTTTTCTCATTTGTCTTAGGGTATTTTTTCCACTTTCATTTTACAAGTGAAAGTGACAGATTTCTTTGCAGCTGATTCTGTAGCCTAATGTTTCCATTATAAAGTCATCATCTATGTAATTTGGAAGAATGGGAGTATCTGAATTTCTGGGGGAATAAATAGAACTATTTAAATGTGATAATTTCTGAAAATTATTGGTTAGTGTGAAGTTTTAAGTCTTCAGCATCTGTGTGTATTATAGGTTTGTGCCCTGTCCTCTGGGGCAGTAGTATTAATGATACTTGCTACTGTGTTTATAGATATAGAAAAAGCCTATGTGGATAGCATGAAGTGGAATAGTTAATATTTTTCTTACACATACTGATTTCTTTCCTTGGAATTCCCTCCTTCTCTCCCACCCCCATTTGGTCTTTTCAATAAGATTTAGCTCAATAGTTAACTTCTTCCTTCTCTGGACCACTAACTGGTTGCTCCCTCTATCAGGACCTAATAATACTATCTATCACCCCTGCCAGACTGATGTTTCTACAGGGTTAGGACTATATCCAGTTTTTCTTCTGTCAAAAGCTAAAATAGCATATGGCACACTGCAGTCATGAAGTAATGATTGTTGGGTTAATATATGTTGGGATTCCTAATTTAAACTACGTGGATTAGTTGCTAGGTAGCATCCCTGATGGAGAAGGAAATGGCAACCCACTCCAGTGTTCTTGCCTGGAGAATCCCAGGGACGGCGGAGCCTGGTGGGCTGCCGTCTATGGGGTCGCACAGAGTCGGACACGACTGAAGTGACTTAGCAGCAGCAGCATCCCTGAAGGTGAATGGGATTATTTGTGTTTTAGTATTATCCAGTAGTAGGTGAAGGAAGTAGTGGTAAAATTTGATGATCACCTTCAAAATCCACCTAAATTCCATTCCTGATGAATTTTAAAGAGGCAGTCTCCTCCACTGGAACTTGTCAGACAGGTCCTCCCTTTGGATATTTGATGATATTGTGAATAGTAGCAGTGCTTAAGGTTTTTAGTCCCAGCCCAGTCCCTCTGATTATCTCCTGCATTCCCAGAGGAATCATTCAGTAAGCCCCAGGGGGGTGCCTCAGCACAGGGTTTTGGGTTTTTTGTTTTAATGATTAATTGATATTTTGTATATGCATCTGTGTTGAGACCCACTGGTCTGGCCTAATTATTTTATGCTATTTTTTTCTCTTCAGATGTTTAAAGGTAGCTGCAGTGAAACTGTTCAGAAATCTGTTGCCCAGTCTTTTTGGACAATTACTACATATGTATTCAACAGAAATCTCTTAATACATATAACACATTTATTGTCTCTTATTAAAAAAAAAAAAGCCCTTCATAGTTCTCTTGAATGAGTCATTCTTACTAGTAATTTTACTTTTGCTCTACTATTCCCTTCTCTAAAATACCCTATCCTGTCCTGTATGAAGCCTTATATCTTTAAGACCCAGATCAGTTCTTTAATACATGTTCATTTTTAACCTTTGCACCTGTATTATATTCCCAGAAGCCTAGATTTCTCAGCTAATTTGGTTATTTTATTAAATCAATTGGAATTTGTGTATTTTTGTTACAACCCACGTGCATGAATTTTTTAATATATTATGGAATACAGAGGATATAATGAGTAATACCATATTTTATGTCTCACAAAGAGAGAAATGCTACCACTGAAACCATGACGCGATTGCAAGACATATCCCAGTTTCTGATGTTCTGATTCAGTAAAATGTGCATCTGTGAAATACAGTATAAGGAATACCATTAATTCGCCACCTGCCCAGTCTAAAAAATAAAGTGAATATAGTTGAAGTCCCCTGTGTGCCCTTTCCCCATGTTACACGCTCCCTTGTCCTGAATTTGGTTTTCATCATTTGGTTCTTCTATACTTTTAGTAAATATGTCTGTGACCCTAGTTCAGTTCAGTCACTCAGTCATGTCTGACTCTTTGCAACACCATGGACTGCAGCACGCCAGGCTTTCCTGTCCTTCACCAACTCGCGGAGCTTCCTCAAACTCATGTCCATCGAGTTGGTGATGCCATCCAACCATCTCATCCTCTGTCGTCCCTTCTGCCTTCAATCTTTCCTAGCATCAGGTTCTTTTCCAGTGAGTCAGTTCTTCGCATCAGGTGGTCAAAGTGTTGGAGCTTCAGTATCAGTCATTCCAGTGAATATTCAGGGTTGATGTCCTTGCAGTCCAAGGGACTCTCCAAGAGTCTTCTCCAACACCTCAGTTCAAAAGCATCAATTATTCAGCGACCCTAAGCAACATCTAATGTTATAGTTTGTTTTTAATATTACTCTTTTTTCTATGTCAGCTTTCTAATAATTATTTTTGAGTAGGACTTCTATGGACCTTGAAGAATATAAATTCTTTATT